CTGAAAGGTTAGAGGAATTAGGTGGGATAAAGCTTGATAAACAAGAACCAGCTACAGCTAGACAGCCTCCTATTGCTTCTTGTAATTTGCCTCTTAGTCTCCTATTTGCTTCTCTTAAGTCATTATATTGGAAGCTGTCCACCCCTTTGCCGAATGCCCAGCCTCTTTCACCAGCCCGTTCTAATGCGCTCAGCCAACTGGGAAGCAAAGAGCCCTAGATTTTCCTGAATTTACTCCACTTTGGAGCCCCCACTGGCACAGTGGATTAAACTGCAGAGCTGCTAAACTTGCTTACTGAAAGATCACAGGTTCGAATCGGGGGAACGGCATGAGCTCCCACTGTTAGCCCCAGCTTCTGCCAACCTAGTAGTTCAAAAACATGCAAATGTGAGTAGATCAATAGGTACTGCTGTAGCAGGATGACAGCGGCGCTCCATGCAGTCATGCTGGCCGGCTCTTCAGCTTAGAAATGGAGTTGAGCACCAACCCACCTATCTCTGTGATCGCATCTCCTTCTATGAACCGGCGTGAACTCTAAGATCTCCTGGGGAGGCCCTCCTTTTGCTCCCACCGCCATCACAAGTACGGTTGGTGGGGACAAGAGAGAGGGCCTTCTCTATGGTGGCCCCCTGCCTCTGGAACGTCTTTCCAAGGGAAATTAGACATGGCCCATCCCTCCCCTCCTTTCGTAAGAGCTTGAAGACCTGGTGGTTTCTACAAGTCTTTGAGAATGACCAGTTCTAGTCCAGCCCAAACATTGCTGAATATGGCCTTTCACTCTTACCTATTACCCCGGTCATCCCTCTAATAGGCCCTGGAAATGAGCAGCCACAGACCCATACTTGCTATTGCCGTTAGCCTATTATAGCACCGTACTTAATTCCCGGCCCCCTCATATTTTGAGTTTGCACTAGCCTTGGCCCGGCTTTTTAATTGCTCTGAATAAACAGGATTGTTTTTAATATACATGTGTTATTGTGATAATTTTATGCTTATGTTGTTTTGTGAATTTTATGTTATGCTGTTTACTTTGTATGTTTTGGTGATGTCACTTGGAAACCGCCCTGAGTCCCCCTTGGGGAGATAGAGCGGTATATAAATAAAGTTTTTTTATTATTATTATTATTATTATTATTATTATTATTATTATTATTATTATCATCATCATCCCTGGAAAGAACTAATAATAATAATAATAATAATAATAATAATAATAATAATAATAATAATAATCTTTATTTATATACCGCTCCATCTCCCCGAGGGGACTCAGAGCGGTTCCCAAGTAACATCACAAAACATACAGAGTAAAAACAACATAACCATAAGATTAACAAACAAAATATAAGCATAAAATTTGTCTCCATAACACACATATATTAAAAGTAATCCTGCCTATTCAAGGCAATTAAAAATTTAAAAGGCCGGGCCAAGGTTTGTGCAAGCCCAAAAAATTCTAGGGGGCCCGGGAATTAAGTGCAATGCTATGGCAGGCAACAATAATATTAGTTATGGGTCTGTGGCTGTTCATTTCGGGGCCGATTAGAGGAAAGAATCTGGGTAACTCGTAGGAAGAATAAGGCCGTATTAGACAATGTGTGGGGCTGAGTTAGATCTGGTCATTTTCAAAGGCTTGTTGAAACCACCAGGTCTTCAAGCTCTTACGAAAGGAGGGGAGGGATGAGGCCTGTCTTATTTCCCTTGGAAGGGCGTTCCAGAGGCAGGGGGCCACCACTGAGAAGGCCTTCTGTCTCGTCCCCACCAACTGCGCTTGAGATGGTAGTGGGACCGAGAGGAGGGCCTCTCCAGAAGATCTTAGAGCTTGCGGCGGTTCATAGAAGGAGATGCGATCATGGAGATAGGCGGGACCTATCTCTACTGAAGCACCTTCTCCTAACCTGGTGATCTTTAGTTGTGCTGGGTTGCAGTGCCCATCATCCCCTACTAACAGGGCCATTTACAACTACAGAAACTGTCCAATACACTTGAAGGGTCCAAGGATGGAGAAAGCTGAAATTAAAGGATGTGGCAAACTTCACTACTGTTCTGTTGTATGCTAGGTAAACTTCACTACTGTTCCTTTGTTTTTGATTAAATTGTTTGAATCAAACTATAGGCAGCTTGTGACCAGAGCAGAGGTGAGAGAGTGTCACTCAAAATACCCGAGCCTCCTGCTTCGATCACAAGCTGCCACTGTGCCATCAAGCCATGATTCGCCCACCCCTGCCAGCCTTGACTCCTCTCTGTGCCCACAGATGTGTCTTCTACTAGAGTTTCAATTGACAAGAAATCCAGAAGTTTGTGGAACATGATGGGGTTTTTTTTATTGTTGCTGTCTTTAAAAAACCACTGGAGTGGAAAGCTAGTCTGGGGGTTCAAAGAGACATTCAATTTAAATCTCTCTTAATTAGCTTCTGAGCTGCTTTGTTCAGCTGGCTGGTGAGATGAATCAAAGTTCTGCCATTTGGACAGTTTTAGCAAGAGAAGACAGCCGGTTCGTGGAGGAAAGACAGCTGTGTTTTCAGTGCTTCATTTCTGAAAGTGATGCTCAAATCTCCATTGAAACCATACTTTCTGGTCAGCAATTTCATCCAGATTGACTGCTGTTATTCATTGAGGAAGAAGACATTCTGTACACGCACAGAGGCATTTTTGTTGTCATTAACTGCCGTCAAGTCGAATTTGACTCAACATGTTGTGTTATCATCTACCGTGTGGCCTGCTCAGCCTTTGCAGATCCAGATTCTAAAGTTTAACAATATATTATTGTTCTCTTTTTTTTCTTTTCCGCAAGCACACGCAGAGTGCTTTCCTCCTACTGTTTTGTAATAATTGCTCACATCACTATACTGCTATTAAAAGTTCAAGACTTCAAGATGTGGCTTTCTGGCAGAATTGATTGAAAAGACTTCTCAGAGTAAAAAGAAAAACCCATCTCTGGATGGGCAGCTTGTATGAAGAATACTTAGTTTACTTAGGCGATCCCTTGTTGTCCGAGTAGGATAGTCTTCCAAGATCAGTATACTGGTGAGTCGGTAGGTGACTGTGGAGCCCTATTCTTGATCTGCATCTTCTCCCACAGTGAGGGCATTGGTTTCCAGGTGGAAGGCGATCTCGGTCGGGGTTGGCTTGACGTGCCTTCCTCTTGGTACATTTCTCTCACCCTCCATTCGTGCCTCTTCAAATTCTACAGCACTGCTGGTCAAAGCTGACCTCCAGCTGGAGTACTCAAGGGCCAGGGCTTCCCAGTTCTCAGTGTCTATGCCAAAGTTTTTAAGGTTGGCTTTGAGCCCATCTTTAAATCTCTTTTCCTGCCCACCAACATTCCATTTTCCATTCTTGAGTTCAGAGTAGAGCTTTGGGAGACAGTGGTCGGGCATCCGGACAACGTGGCGGAGTTGATGGCAGAGGACCATCGCTTCAATGTTGGTGGTCTTTGCTTCTTCCAGCATGCTGACATTTGTCCACTTGTCTTCCCAAGAGATTTGCAGAATTTTCTGGAGACAGCACTGATGGAATCGTTCCAGAAGTTGCAACTGCTTTGAGAAACGGTGGTCAGGCATTGGGCAATGTGGCCAGTCCAGCGGAGTTGATGGCGGAGGACCATCGCTTCAATGTTGGTGGTCTTTGCTTCTTCCAGCATGCTGACATTTGTCCTCTTGTCTTCCCAAGAGATTTGCAGGATTTTCCGGAGATAGAGCTGATGGAATCGTTCCAGAAGTTGCATGTGATGTCTGTAGACAGCCCATGTTTCGCAGGCATATAGCAGAGTTGGGAGGACAATAGCTTTATAAACAAGCACCTTGGTATTCCTGTGGATGTCCCGGTCCTCAAACACACTCTGCTTCATTCGGAAAAAGGCTGCACTTGCAGAGTTCAGGTGGTGTAGTATTTCAGAGTCAAAGTTGACTTTTGTGGAGAGGTGGCTGCCAAGGTAGCAGAAATGATCAACATTTTCGAATGTTACACCATTAAGCTGTATTTCTGGCTTTGGAGAGGGATTGGCTGGTGACTGCTGGAAGAGCAATTTGGTTTTCTCGATGTTCAATGACAGGCCGAGCTTCTCGTATGCTTCTGCGAAGGTGTTTAGAGTGGCTTGTAGGTCTTCTTCTGAATGCGCACAGACGACATTGTCATCAGTATACTGGAGTTCTATAACAGATGTTGTTGTGACCTTGGTTTTGGCTTTCAGTCTGCTGAGATTAAATACCTTGCCATCTGTCCGATAGATGATTTCCACTCTGGCAGGAAGCTTCCCATCAACAAAATGCAGGGAACAAAATCAACCACTGTACATGGCATTCATTGACCTTGCAAAGGCATTCGACACAGTGAATCGCAGCGCTCTCTGGACCATCCTCCAAAAAATCGGGTGCCCTAACAAATTTGTGAACATTCTGCGGCTCCTCCATGATGACATGATGGCAATAGTCTTGGACAGCAATAGTTCCCAAAGTGACCCATTTAAGGGGATGTGTTATTGCCCCAACTTCATTCTCCATCTTCATCACTATGATACTTCATGAAAAATGCAGATCTTTTGGTTGCCTTTGAGCCTCTTTCTTTGAGCCTTCATGTAAACATGGTCATTATGTGATTGTTGGCTATACAAACAGAAGAGTGCCATTTGTCATGTAAATGAGTATTCGTTCAAAGCATTGCAAGAAAACAGAGAGGGGGAGATTAACTGAGCTTTTGTAATAAGTGCCCCTATTATTCGAAGGCAAAAGGGACAACCTTAGTCTTGTGGGAATCCCACTGCAGTGATGTGCCATGACAGATAGTTGTGATGGTCATTACCAATGGACACAGCTACATCATTAATCCAAGTGCATTTTCTCTCTGTTTCATCAAGAAAACTCAAAGCTTCTCCCCAATGTCCTCCTTTTGCAGCTTTGCCAGGGCAAGGGCACTTGGCATAGCAAATGTGAGATGTCAGGACCTGGCACACAACCCATTCCTCCCTCCCTCTTCAGCCCTTTACACGCAAATGGCCGGGCATGGTTAACCTTCTTGTATAAAAACCCTTTGCAGCACAGAGAGAGGAAGCTGTCCGAGCCTGCAAAGCCTGGAGAAGGGATTTCACCATGGAAGGGCAGAGGCTGTCATCCTATGGGAGACGCTTTGGCTCGCAAACCAGCTCTGTCCACCATGCTCTGAGGTTCTCGCCAGGTCGCAGGTACATGCCTTCAAGTGCCACCAGCCGGGTCTCGGTCACCAAACTGAAGACTGCCAGCCTCAGTTTTCGTGCTGGCCCTAAGTTCTCAGACAAGGTGGATTTTTCCTTGGCTGATGCTCTTAACACTGAGTTCAAGGAGACCCGTACCAACGAGAAGGTGGAGATGATGGAGCTGAATGACCGCTTTGCCAGCTACATTGAGAAGGTCCGTTTCCTTGAGCAGCAGAACAAGGTTCTGGTAACTGAGCTCAACCAAATCCGAGACAAGGAGCCCACCAAGTTGGCTGATATCTACCAGGAGGAGCTGAGAGATCTACGCCACCAAGTAGACCAGCTCTCCAACTCTAAGGCCCGGCTGGAGATTGAGAGGGACAACCTGCTGGAAGATCTCAACAATCTTCGGCAAAAGTAAGAATACTATTCATAAGATCTTGACCTAGAAATGAGCAAAGAGAGAACTGAAGCAAGAGAACAATATGCAAGTGTACTGGGAAATTTTGCAGTTAGAGGAGGATTCTTGTTGGATCACTTTGTTACTAGTTTTGCACACTTCATTTTTTCACACTACAATTCTAATGATCCTTTTTGATCAGGTGTCCTCAAACTTTTTAAACAGAGGGCCGGGTCACAGTCCCTCAAACTGTTGGAGGGCCGGATTATAATTTGAAAAAAAACATGAATGAATTCCTATGCATACTGCACATATCTTATTTGTAGTGCAAAAATACAATTTAAAAATAATACAATAATTAAAATTAAGAACAATTTTAACAAATATAAACTTATTAGTATTTCAATGGGAAGTGTGGGGCTGCTTTTGGCTGATGAGATAGGATTGTTGTTGTTGTTGTTGTTGTTGTTGTTGTTGTTGTGTGTTTTCAAGTCATTTCATACTTAGGTTGATCCTGAGCGAGGGCCAGGTAAATGACCTTGGAGGGCTGTATCTGGCCCCGGGCCTTAGTTTGAGGACCCCTGCTTTTGAGTATGGAACAGAATTTTCCAGGATGTGATTTGTCTATTTTGTAACATATTATTGTTGTTGTTGTTGTTGTTGTTGTTGTCTTTTTATTTATTTATTTATTATTAATTATGTATTTTATTATTATTATTGTCTTTTTATTCATTATTTATTTATTTATTTATTGTGTATATTATTATTATTATTATTATTATTATTATTATTATTATTATTATGAGTATGGAACAGAATTTTCCAGGATGTGATTTGTCTATTTTGTAATATTTTATATATTATTATTATTGTCTTTTTATTTCTTTATTATTATTTATTTATTATGTATTTTATTTATTATTATTATTGTCTTGTCCAAGGTGGCTTGAGTTGTCTAAAATAGTGCTCCTTAAGCTATGTAATGCATAGGACTGGCAATTGTTTCCATCAATGTGCAGGGGGCCAATTCTATATTCGTTCTCATTAAATATAATTGTTATTTACTATCCTGGAATCTCGCCAGAGACCAGCAGCAGTACTTTGAGTAGAGCTGGTCTTCTCTTAACATGGCATTCTCTATGGCACTGAATCTATATTGACCAGGGATTATGTGAGTTGTAGTACATTGTGTATTTTGAAAGTGTCAGCTTAAGAAAAGCTGATCAACGAAGAATAGAATTCAAAACAGTTCTGGGAAACCTTGTGATTCCTCTGAACCTCATTAGTTCTTTAATGAGAACATCATAATGGCCAGCCAGCAGCACTCAATGGCATCTTGCCCACCTCTGCTGACTGTCTCCTGCAACAAGCAAAGTGGGAAATAGTCCAAGGGATGACTTGAAGTTAATGATGAAACCCAGCAGATGTGGTCAATAGTTCTTGTGAAGTGGAGAGTGTAAAAACTGCAGCTGTGTTCACCTTTTTGTGAGAACCTTTTAATATAACCAACCTGCCCTTTCTTGTAAGACTAGGTTGTATTTGGAGTGGTGAATTGATGAATCTGCTCTGGGTTTTAGTCTGAACTTTAAAGGAGCTATCCAAAGTGATGAAATTATTTGTAGGGTAAGGAAATTGAGCAAATGGTTCCTTCCCAATTTCTCATTCTATGCTTATGCCTTTCTGTGCTAAACCCATTTTATGTTAAATTATTCTGAAAGTGACACCAACATACAGGACTTGAGAGTTCCACAATAAGGAGAATTGCAAAGAGCTCATTTGCAAGAATCATAGAATCATAGAGTTGGAAGAGACCTCATGGGCCATCCAGTCCAACCCCCTGCCAAGAAGCAGGAAAATTGCATTCAAAGCACCCCCGACAGATGGCCATTCAGCTTCTGTTTAAAAGCTTCCAAAGAAGAAGCTTCTACCACACTCCAGGGCAGAGAGTTCCACTGCTGAACAGCTCTCACAGTCAGGAAGTTCTTCCTAATGTTCAGATGGAATCTCCTTTCTTGTAGTTTGAAGCCATTGTTCTGCATCCTAGTCTCCAAGGCAGCAGAAAACAAGCTTGCTCCCTCCTCCCCATGACTTCCTCTCACATATTTATACATGACTATCATGTCTCCGCTCAGCCTTCTCTTCTGAAGGCTAAACATACCCAGCTCTTTAAGCCGCTCCTCATAGGGCTTGCTCTCCAGACCCTTGATCATATTAGTCGCCCTCCTTGGACACATTCAGGTGATGAGCAAGGACACAGCTGGACTTAATGTCAGGGGAAAACCTTTCCCTTTTTTATTCACCATTATAATGTTCAAAGAAGCAAGACCAAATTGCCTGTCCTTGCTCATCACCTGGACCTCAGCTTTCAACGATATCTGTCCTCTCCCAACATGAATATTTCCTCACCAGAAGAGAGCAAAGAGGGGAATGTTTAGCTCTCTCCTTCAAATAGCCATACTGGGAAGGGGCATCTTTGCTAAAAACTGAGGGTTTCAGGAGAACCCTACTCCAGATTTTGTTGGCCAATCCAAAATTCCCGTATTTTCCGGCCTATAAGACGACTGGGTGTATAAGACAACTCCCAACTTTCCCAGTTATAATGTAGAGTTTGGGATATGCTTGCCCTATAAGTCTACCCCTCTTCCACTGCACACCACCCTTGTTGCTTTCATACGGTCGCCGCTGTCTCACCTCAGAGTAGGTTCACCTTGCTGAAACACCAAACTGCACACAGCCAGAAGTCTTTATAGTTTATTAAAAAGTAAAAGATAAAAAGTTCTTAAGAGCAAAAGTAATGTTCTAAAAGAACAATACAAAACAACACTTTGAAGCATGATCCAAAAAGGCACCAGCAAAACAAAATCCCATGAGAACCTGACTGAGTCCTAGAATCATAGAATCATAGAATCATAGAATCAAAGAGTTGGAAGAGACCTCATGGGCCATCCAGTCCAACCCCCTGCCAAGAAGCAGGAATATTGCATTCAAATCACCCCTGACAGATGGCCATCCAGCCTCTGTTTAAAAGCTTCCAAAGAAGGAGCCTCCACCACACTCTGGGGCAGAGAGTTCCACTGCTGAACGGCTCTCACCATCAGGAAGTTCTTCCTCATGTTCAGATGGAATCTCCTCTCTTGTAGTTTGAAGCCATTGTTCCGCGTCCTAGTCTCCAAGGAAGCAGAAAACAAGCTTGCTCCCTCCTTCCTGTGGCTTCCTCTCACATATTTATACATGGCTATCATATCTCCTCTCAGCCTTCTCTTCTTCAGGCTAAACATGCCCAGCTCCTTAAGCTGCTCCTCATAGGGCTTGTTCTCCAGACCCTTGATCATTTTAGTCACCCTCCTCTGGACACATTCCAGCTTGTCAATATCTCTCTTGAATTGTGGTGCCCAGAATTGGACACAATATTCCAGGTGTGGTCTAACCAAAGCAGAATAGAGGGGTAGTATTACTTCCCTGGACCTAGACACTATGCTCCTATTGATGCAGGCCAAAATCCCATTGGCTTTTTTTGCCGCCACATCACATTGTTGGCTCATGTTTAACTTGTTGTCCACGAGGACTCCAAAATCTTTTTCACACGTACTGCTCTCAAGCCAGGCGTCTCCCATTCTGTATCTTTGCATTTCGTTTTTTCTGCCTAAGTGTAGTATCTTGCATTTGTCCCTGTTGAACTTCATTTTGAGACCATGAACACAAGAACTGCGAGATAATCCAGACAAGCAAAATGCAAGCTTCTTGGTTAAACGAAAAGTTGCTCTGACAAAGGTTTGGTCCCAAACACACTGCATAATACCCTTTGCAAAACATGAAGGCATTTCTTTGGCCTCTGACCTCCTTCTTGTCAGCTATTCTCACACTCCTTCAAACTCTGAATTCCAAACGGTCAGCACGATCTAAGGTTCCCGTTTCATCAAGGTCAGTCTGTTAGTGTTATCCAGTTTGCCTTCCTGCTCATTATCAGGCTGAGAACTGTCCTCCTTTTCTGAGTCAATTTGCCCCTGTGCCTGGTTATTTTCAGTATCAACCAACCTATCTCTTGCTGTGGGAAACTGAACTTCCACACCCTGTTCCTCATTGACTATAACAGGGACATTTTGAATCAGATTGTCAACCTGAATCCCATCATCCTCATCAGAGGCACTCTGTGGTTCCAGCTGTGGTTCCAGCTGAGTCACAACAGCCACATACCATGGAGATACGGCCATTTTTAGCTCCCCCCATCATACGTGCCAACCGCAGATTCTCCAGTCCAGCTCAGAATTTTCAGCACCTACCCTATAAGACAACACCTGATGTATAAGACAACTCCCGACTTTTGAGATTTTCCTGGGTTAAAAAGTAGTCTTATACACCAGAAAATACAGTATTTGTATTTATGCTTTACAGTATTTAAAAGATAACTCATTGTATCTTGTGTTTTTTCCCTCTCATTTTTTGTTATTACTGCTTTAGAAATGAGGTGGAAATTGCCTGTCCTTTCAAATAATTTTAGATTGAATCTTCCAACATTCTGTTTCAGGGCTATAGAAACAAAAGCCTGAATTTTGTTGCTCAACCCAACTTCGTATGTCAGATTCTGTTTCTTTTCCCTACTTGTTATATTACTTTTTAAAAAAAACAAAAGTAATGTGTCCTTGTAACCAAAGAAAGGTATCTTGTTATGGATTATTACCTTGCTAATAACCTGTTACTTCCAAATTTTGGCAAAATGAACACATACGTTTCACATCCTTAGCTTGGCATCATGCTATTCTCTTGGGATGTCAGTTTAATACAGATATGTTTTGCCTCTTGTGTCATAAAAATGTTTGGTTTTTTTGTCGTGTCAGGAGCGACTTGAGAAACTGCAAGTTGCTTCTGGTGTGGCCGTCTGCAAGGACGTTGCCCAGGGGACACCTGGATGATTTGATGTTTTTATCATCCTTGTGGGAGGCTTCTCTCATGTCCCCACATGAGAAGCTGAAGCTGATAGAGGGAGCTCATCCGCCTCTCCCTGAATTCGAACCTGTGACCTGTCGGTCTTCAGTCCTGCCGGCACAGGATGTTATGAATGAACATATAACAGCAGAAGTTGCAACAGATCATAACCTGAACTGTCCTCTACGCAAAACTGCCATTTAACATAGTCACCATCAATCTGTACATATTTGCACCATCAAAACCTCTTTGGAAAAATTTGAGGTTTTACTTCGTGACCCATGATTTTAAAGCTGTTTTAATGTCATTCAAATAATTGAATCTGAAACCATGTAGGTTGTCTTTGAGAGGTCCAAACAGGTAAAAATCGGAAGGGGCCAAATCATAAATATTCTTCAAGCTATCATGGATTTCCTTAGGTGCATAACCTTCTTTTGCCAGAAATTCAATGGCGACTTTTTCTTTTAGCTTCAGATTCATGGTTCTAATCAGTCAAATGGAAAGCGAAAAGACTATGTCAGTAGAGTAAGGTAACGTCTATCACAGAGGTCCTCAAATTTTTTAAACATAGGGTTGGGTGACAGGCCCTCAAACTGTGGGAGGGCCGGATTATAATTTGAAAAAAAATGAATGAATTCCTATGCACACTGCACATATCTTATTTGCAGTGCAAAAAAAAAAACCCCACACTTAAAATCTAAACTTGGGGAGGTGGTGGGCGAAGCGGCCCAAAACTGCTTCACCTGCTGCATCCCCCTCTTCTCCCTTCAGGATGAGGCCAGACCTCATCCCGAAGGGAGAAGAAGAGCAGGTTGGGCCCCGGGAGGTGGTGGGCGAAGTGGCCCTGAAGCTGCTTCGCCCGCTGCCTCCCCCTCTTCTCCTCCCTTCAGGAGGAGGCAAGACCTCATCCCGAAGGGAGAAGAAGAGCAGGTTGGGCCCAGGGAGGTGGTGGGCGAAGCGGCCCCGAAGCTGCTCCACCCGCTGCCTCCCCCTCTTCTCCTCCCTTCAGGATGAGGCCAGACCTCATCCTGAAGGGAGAAGAAGAGCAGGCTGGACCCGGGGAGGTGGTGGGTGAAGCGGCCCCGAAGTTACTTCGCCCGCCGCCTCCCCCTCTTCACCTGCCTTCAAGATGAGGCAAGGCCCTGTCCCGAAGGCAGGAGTAGAGCAGGCTGGGCCCAGGGAGGCGGCGGGTACCCCGCGGGCTGGATTAATGCCCTCGGGGGGCCGGATCTGGCCCATGGGCCATAGTTTGAGGACCCCTGCTCTATCATATTATACATATATAGTCAAGTAGCTGTGAAAGAAATAAAAGTTAGAGCATGGAAGCATTACTTTTTGACTCACCTTCATATTAAAGGAAATGGTGGAATTAAGGCTTCTAGTAAAAGGTAAAGTTTTCCCCTGACATTAAGTTCAGTCGTGTCTAACTCTGGTGGTGCTCATCTCCATTTCTAAGCTGAAGAGCCGGCATTGTCCATAGACATTGTCCATAGACACCTCCAAGGTCATGTGGCCGGCACGACTGCATGGAGTGCCATTGCCTATTGATCTACTCACATTTGCATGTGTTTGAACTGCTAGGTTGGCAGAAGCTTGGGTTAACAGCAGGAGCTCACCCCGCTCCCTAGATTCAAACCCATGACCTTTTGTTCAGCAAGTTCAGCATCTCAGCACTTTAACCCACTGAACCACTGGGAGCTTATAATACTTCATTATTCCACATCAAAATTTACAACTGCTAGGTTTGGGAGGGAGGTCTGGGTTATGTTGGTCAAGTCTTTGAAGACCACTGGAGTGTTTTGAAAAGGGCATGTTGTAATTTTTAAAATTACATTTAGCAGTTAGCTACATGAAGGCGAAATGCATTAAAAATTAATTCTTCATTAAATATTATTAAATTCATTAAAAAGAAAACCTCTATGCCCTCAGAAAGCTGTGTTAATTTAAAGGGGAGGGGGAATAAAAAAAGCAAAATTAGAACAAACCGAAAGCATCAAAAACCCAGGTCAGTAAGAAAGTTGGGTGGGTTCTGTAGATTCAATGGGACTGCAGGCCTTGCTCATGTACCTTGGAACAGATTGGAATGGGGTTGAAATATGACCAAATGTTTGCCCACACAGATTTGTTTAACCATTTGGGAGGTTGTAACTGTCTTTGCAGGAGAACATTGTTCTTTGTAGGTGGTCAATTAGGCCATAATGGTTTGAGTATCCTGGGACTTGTGGCCAATCTTTCTGAGGATACACATGTAGGGCAATGACTGTATGTACCCCTAAGGCCACAAGTTACCCATCCCTTCCTCTGCAACACTCACTCGGGCTTGCAATGCTCTAATATTTTGTTGCAACTCTTCATTAGTTCTCTCTAATTACCAACATGGTGGTCCTTGTTGATCAGGAGAGCAGTGAAGTGGGACCACCCAGAGACAATATGATTTTTTTTCCCTTTCTCGTATTCAAGGGACTGCCACAGATGGCAAAAAAAGTTTTGTAAAAAGAAGAAAGGACGATGTTTCCCAACTTTTAATTTCTCACATTTTGCTGGAAATTATTACATTGATCAATACACATTTTGGTACCTCAAATGTTAGATCTGTTTCTGCATATGATTAATCTGCTGATTCCAAAAATGGCACCAGTTTCCCACTAGCAACTGTAGGTTTTGAAATACAGAACATATGTCATATACCAGGCTTCATCTGCTGATGACATGATGACAACAGTCTTGGACAGCAATGGCTCCCAAAGTGACCCATTTAAGGTGGTATCAGGTGTCAAACAGAGATGTGTTATTGTCCCAAACTTATTTTCCATCTTCATCACTATGATAATTCATCTTGTTGATGCGAAGCTTCCCACTGGAGTGGAAACCATCTATCGGACGGATGGCAAGCTATTTAACCTCAGCAGACTGAAAGCCAAAACCAAGGTTACATCTGTTCTAGAACTCCAATATGCTGATAACAACATCATCTGTGCGCATTCAGAAGAAGACCTACAAGCCACTCTAAACACCTTCGCAGAAGCATATGAGAAGCTCGGCCTGTCATTGAACATCGAGAAAACCAAAGCGCTTTTCCAGCAGTCACCAGCCAATCCCTCTCCAATACCAGAAATACAGCTTAATGATGTAACATTAGAAGATGTTGACCATTTCCACTACCTTAGCAGCCACCTCTCCACAAAAGTCAACATAGACACTGAAATACAACACCGTCTGAGCTCTGCGAGTGCAGCATTTTTATGAAGGAAGCATAGAGTGTTTGAGGACAGGGACATCCGTAGGGATACCAAGGTGCTTGTTTATAAAGCTATTGTCCTCCCAACCCTGCTATATGCCTGTGAGACGTGGACTGTCTACAGACGTCACATACAACTCCTGGAATGATTCCATCAGCACTTCCTCTGGAAAATCCTGCAAATATCTTGGGAAGACAAGCGGACAAATGTCAGCAATCTGGAAGAGGCAAAGACCACCAGCATTGAAGCAATGGCCCTCCGCCGTCAACTCCACTGGAGCAGCCACGTTGTCCAGATGCCCAACTACCGTCTCCCAAAGCAGTTGCTCTACTCCGAACTCAAAAATGGAAAACGGAATGTTGGAGGACAGGAAAAGAGATTTAAAGATGGGCTCAAAGCCAACCTTAAAAACTCTGGCATAGACACAGAGAACTGGGAAGCCCTGGCCTTTGAGCACTCCAACTGGAGGTCAGCTGTGACGAGCAGTTCTGTAGAATTTGAAGAGGCACAAATGGAGGGCAAAAGAAACGTGCCAGGAGGAAAGCACGCCAAGCCAACCCCGAACGGGACCACCTTCCACCTGGAAACTAATGCCTTCACTGCAGGAGAACATGCAGATCAAGAATAGGGCTCCACAGCCACTTATGGACCCACCGCCATGACACCGATCTTGGAAGACAATCCTACTCAGACAACCAGGGATCACCTAAGAAGAAGAAGAACTTGGCGTCATCTGCTCACCCATAGAAAACCGTGAGAACCATATCTAAGAAACTAGAGTTGATGCAATTTATCCAATGCAATTTTCTGAATCAGTGCCCCAAATAACCCCAGGAGCAGACCTAAAAGCCAAGACAACAAGATATATATATTTTTTGGTTGAGCTATGTTATCTATTTCCAATATATTTCCAAAGGAACTGAATGTTAAAACCAACCAAAAACCCTTCAAGCAAGGGTCAGAGTTCCTTTCTTGCTCATTCATAAGAAACCATGTTTCCAATTTGGGGTGCAAATTGCCCTTTCCTAGTGATCAGATTTCTTCCATTTTCCAACCTTGAGGAGGGATAGGATGTTGCAATGGTCCTTCTGGGCTCTTTCTGTATTAACAATGAGGTTATTCTTCATCAGAACAATTCATAATAATGGACATCATTGTCAAGCCAAGAGGGTATAAAAACTTCGCAAGGCAGAGTGTGCAAGCACATAGGCAGCAAGGGATTAGCAGAGGCTCCGGTGCTATCACTTTGACCTTGCTGTGTTTTCCCTTGGTCTTAGGCCCTTGCGGAAGAGATGAACCAATAATTCAATAAGCTTCCCTGATTTTCTCCCCACCTCTTTTCTCTTTCTCATTTAAGGTTACAAGATGAGATTAATCTGCGCCTTGAAGCTGAGAACAATTTATCTTCCTACCGACAGGTGAGGTGGCAAGATGACAAATCCTAACTGGGAGCCATAGGAGGGGGATACAGGATGTCTTCATGAAATATAATTGGTTCGGGGGTGGTTACTTTTGCAATACTGTTGAATGGAAAGGGGTTTATGGAAGTGTTAAAATTGGGAAAAATTGTAGTACATATTAGAGCGCTCACTGCTTGATTTCTTTGAGAAAGCAAAGTGGTGTATCTTTCTTCTAGGGGTTCATGTCAATCTTCTTTATGATAAAGGGCAGAGACTTGGCTAAAACTGTTTCCTGAATAAAATAAAGGAATTACAGTACAAATGTCCAGTGGCTAGCAAGACAGACCAAGAACACGACTGTCCTGACAGTTTATTCAAGACTGTTTCACATTGATTCCAGACCTTGCTATTTAGTCTGTGGCAAATGTCCTGCATCTGCTGTATTTTTAATAGCTACTAGCTGTACCCGTCACGCGTTGCTGTGGCCAATCTTCTCTCCCTCTTTCTCTCCTCCTTTCCCTCCTTCCCTTTCTTCTTTCCTTCTCTCCTTCCTTCCTTCTCTTCATTCCTTCTCTTTTTCTTTCCTTTTCTCTTCTTTCTTTCTTTCTTTCTTTTCCTTTGTTTCCATTCTTCCTTTTGTCTGTCCTTCCCCCCTCTTTCTCTTTCTTTTTCTTCTTCCTTCTCCTCTTTCCTTCCTTTTTCTTTCCTTCTTTTCTTCTCTCTTTCCTTCTTTCTCTACCCATTTCTTTCCATCTCTCTTCTTTTCCTCTTTCTCTCCTTTCTTCCTTCTCTACTTCTTTCCGTCCTTCCTTCGCTCTTTGCTTCCATGCTTCCTTCTCTCTTTCTTTCCTTCCCTCCCTCCCTCTTCTGTCCCTTTTTTTTGTATGTCATTTATCTTTTCGTCATTTATCTTTTGGGGGTTTTTAAGTCCTTTCCACTGTTTTTTTTTGGGGGGGAGGGGTTATGAGTGATGGACTCATTGGTCTGTTAGCGTTGCTGTGGCCAACCTTCCGTCCTTTTTTCTCTCTCTCCTTCCTTCCCTCCCTTTTCTTTACTTTCTTTCTCTCCTTTCTTCCCTCTCTACCTCTTTCTTTCCTCCCTTCCTTTGCTCTTTGCTTCAATCCTTCCTTCTCTCTTTCCCTCTTTCTTTCCCACCCTCTTTCAATCCTTTCTTCTCTCCCGCTTTCCTTCCTTCCCTTCTCTACCTCTTGCCCTTCATTTTTTATGGTTTTTTTGTTTGAAAGACATAGATCGGATTAGAATGTGTTTTGCTGCCAAATTTGGTGTCATTTTGTCCAGTACTTTTTGAGTTTTGTTAATCCCACAAACGAACATTACACTTTTATTTATATAAATTGTAGATCAAGAGAGACAAAGCTCTGATCGTCATACATATTTGGGCTGGCACTGAGTCCAGGTCTAACTCATGAGGGCCGTGAATGCTGCTCTTCCTCCTCTGTGAAGCTCTGATTCCAGATTGGAGGAGATTCCTGCATTTCCATTTCAGGAGGTAAAGAGTGTTGCACAGAAGTGGATTTTAGCCAGATCCAGCACAATAGACACATAGGCAAGAGGAAAAAAGGAACAGAAAAAAAAACTTTACTCTTATCAGCAGAAGCAAAACATAAACTTGCAGTGTTGCATACAAAATCAAACAGTGCAACGAACTTACATAGTCCTTGTAAGTAACACAGAATAAGGCTGGGTTGTTGTAGGTTTTTCCGGGCTATATGGCCATGTTCTACAGGCATTTTTCTCCTGACGTTTCGCCTGCATCTATGGCGAGCATCTATGGCAACAGAATAAGGCTTCTTCAACTTCATTCAAATGAGAGAGCAAAACATGAACCTTGAATAAATAGCTATTCCACCATAGCAAAGAGCGTTGCTGTTAGAGCATAGCAGCATTATAGCATATTGCATCTCCTTCAGAGCAGCTTCTCCAAACTGTATTCTAAAATCCATACAGTTATACTCCACCGGGTGTGACCCAAGCATGCTGGCTGACCTACATTACCAGCTGCACATAATAATTAACATCATAAGGTTTTTCTTTAACACACACACTTGATCCTGCTACGACTTACTATAACAAACAGCAGATAAGAGAGGTCCTAAAGGGGAATCTGAGAGGATAATGTTATTGCTCAATCCACTCAGAGACCAGGGACCTCATCAGACACAGACTTCTCTCAGTTTCTCTGCACTACCGAAATGGATCGCATAATGTAAGGCCACTTTCAATGGGTGCCCGTGGGACTCTGTTACGACAGCGTAGGGAAATAGAGGGAAGACTGTGCTGTGAGGTACTACCCGACTCCCAATGGGAGAAGCCAGGAAGACGTGGAGAAAGGACATGGGATGGCTGCAGAAAGGCACAGGACATCACAATAGGTAACGGAAGAAGATGGTTCCCTCCACTTTTCCCCGCTTTCCTCACTTTCATGTGATAAGGTCCCAGGAATAGCAGTTAGATTGCCCTGCTTCGCTTGCATTACCTAATCGGAGCTCAAGTGAGGCAGCACAAAGAAGCTCCATTGCTAACTCTGGTTTTAGTCCTAGAATGAAGTTCTCCCCTGCCCTGTGCATGTTCCTCACTGGAAATGAGACTGGGACAATGGAGGACTGCCTCTGTTATGTCTAATCTGAGATTGGATGCAACTACATTTACTGTACTTGTTCTGTTGCGTGCTGGGATGACTGTAAAGAATTTCCTTTAGAACAGGACGTGCAACCTTTGCCCAGCAGGAAGCCAGGGACCCCAAGGAGAAGTTCTCAGAGGTTTTCCACCACAAATGATCTTTAGATGGCTTGTGAAGTATAACAAAGTCTTTTATTAATGAACAATCAAACAGAAACTTCTCTTGTCTTCAATAAAGCTAAACAAATGCTTCCAGGCTTTATGCAACTAGTGGCTTCCTAATCTTGCCCACGAAGGACAGGCAACTGTCTTCAATAACTTCTTCTTTACTTTAAATGGAAAATCCCCTTTTTAACTTCTCCCAGGCTGACTGTAATCGAACCCTTACTGATGTGGGCTCCGCTACCGGGTTGAACTGTGTCTCGAACACCGAGTGGACCTACCAGTAAAGGCTTAGATATTCTCCAGCTGGAGTTCTTTGGACTTTAGGGCTGTTTTCCTAGAAATCTTTGGAGACTCTTAAGACTGTTTTCCCCTGGAAAGTCTTAAGGCAGGGGTCCTCAAACCTTTTAAAGAGAGGGCCAGATCACAGTCCCTCAAATTGTTGGAGGGCCAGATTATAATTTGAAAAAAACATGAATGAATTCCTATGCACACTGCACATATCTTATCTGTAGTGGAAAAAAAAACTTAAAATGATACAATAATTAAAATGAAGAACAATTTTAACAAATATAAACTTATTAGTATTTCAGTTGGAAATGTGAAATAGGATTGTTGTTGTTCTTGTGTGCTTTCAAGTCATTTCAGACTTAGGTTGACCCTGAGCGAGGGCCGGGTAAATGACCTTGGAGGGCCGCATCCGGCCCCCGGGCCTTAGTTTAAGGACACCTGTCTTGAGGGTTGAAGCTTTTGTACATGGGAAGCTTGCACACGTCCTGTACATTAGCTTTCCTTGCTGAGACTAACTAAAAATGGCTGCCTTCCCTTCCCAATTGCCCTGAGCAAGGGGCAGAACCAAAACTTAATGATGGACAGGTGACTTACCCTATGACTGCAACCAAAGGAAGCCACCTATCTGCAGAGTCCCTGAAACCTAGGACTGCAAACAAACATTTAATACAAAGCAAATAAATTTGGAGCTCCTGGTACAGCCGTAGCAGCATAGTACTGAAAGAAGCCTCGCTTTTCAAGGAGGTAGAGTCCCATGTAGACTCCATTTCTCCAGAATGGAGAAATGATATCTCAGAGATGGTGGGATTCAATTGTGGCAAAGGAGGATGGGGTTTGGGACATTATCCAGGCTGGAAAGGTAAACCAATACCTTATTTTAGGTGTTGTCGTTGCCATTCCAATCTTTCCTCCTTTATCTGCTGCTGTGTTAATTAGTGGCTTCCTTCTTGCCTTTTTTTTTTTTTTTTTTTTTTTTTTTGCTAATGAGCTTCTTATTGTTCCCATGCTCTGACACTCCTGAATTGGCCTTAATTAGTTCGTTTCCTCTCCCAGGTGAGTATGGGAACAGAAGAGAAATGTGAATTACTAGTTTCTACTTTATAGTCAGAAAAACGTTTTATTTCTATGTTTTAATTATGAGGGCAATTTTATGATTGAAATAATGGAACCATAAAATTGAAGCAGAAACAATGAGAAAGTATTCTGGCTACAAAGACATAACCAATAATTAAAGCCCTCCCTGGAGGGAACAAGAATTGATTAATTAATACTCATGCTTAACTATTGCAGCCATAGTGAATGAACACAAAACAATGAAATGCCTGCTTTAAAAGAAAGGACCAAGGAAGAAGACCTTCATGAGAAAGTAGCAGGATGCCTTTGCTGAATGAAACCTACTTCTGACTAAAAAGAAAATACAGTCTTGCTGATATTAAGACACGATACTAGATTTTAAAACAGAAATAGTCCTATTTTGATAGTGTTCCCAGATCACAGCACCTGGTCTCCCCTCTCCTATACTCAGGGCAAGAAGGAATAATCTCAGGATGAGAGAACTACTTGTAAAGTGTGTGTATGTGTATCTATATCTATATCTATATCTATATAAATGCTCTGTTCGTTTTGAGTTACATCATAACTCAAAAACAATTGGACGAATTGTCACCAAATTTGGCCACAAAACATCTACTAACCCAAGGAGTGACCATCACAAAAAATGATTTTGGACATTTGGGAGTTGTAGTTGCTGGGATTTATAGTTAACCTGCAATCAAAGAGCATTCTGAACTCCACCAACAATGGAATTGAACCAAACTTGGCACACAGGACACCCATGACCTACAGACAACACTAGAAGGGTTTGGTGGGCATTGACCTTAAGTTTGAGAGTTGTAGTTCACCTACATTCAGAGAGCACTGGGGACTGAAACAACGATGGATCTAGACTAAACTTGGCATATGCCCAAATATGAACACAGATGGAGTTTGGGGAAAATAGATCTTGATATTTGGGATTTGTAGTTACTGGTATTTATAGTTCATCTACAATCAAAGAGCGTTCTGAACCCCACCAATAATAGAATTGGGCCAAATTTCCCACACAGAACCCCCATGACCAACAGAAAATATTGTCTTTTCTGATGGTCTTTGGTGACCCTTCTGACTCCCCCTCATACCCCCCCCCCAGGGGTCCCAACCCCCAGGTTGAGAAATGCTGCCTTAAGACCATCCAGTCCAACGGTGGTTCATAGAGGGAGATGTCTTCGGACAGATTATTGGACAGGGGCCATATAGGGCTTTATAGGCCAAGGTCAGCACTTTGAATTGTGCTCGGTAGCAAATTGGCAGCCAGTGGAGCTGAAGCAACATAGGAGTTGTGTGCTACCTGTAGGCCACGCCAGTTATTAACCTTGCTATGATGGCACGCCTGAGCCTTTGGGGAAACTATAGTGTCTGACTTTACTCGGGGGCTATCTGTACACCTTCTGTTATGTTTAAAGCCCTTTAACACAGAGGCACTTTAGGCAAAGTGAAAAGATAACCAAATGAGTTTACTGAAAGCAAGATGAATAAAGGGTTAACTCCACCCGGGACTATTATAAGGTAACTTAAAACAATACATTACAAAAGGAGATTTTGCTGGCTACAGTGATCTCTCTGGAGTCTTCTCCCTGTGGTGCAAAGCGATGATTTACAAGTTGCTGCTTATAAACTGTCTTAATCTTCTTTCTTGTGAAGCTTAAGCTGGCCAAAAGCTTCTGTTGTCTCTGGGACTGATGATATAAGAATACTACTGAATGTAGGTGCTAAGGATGTCTATTTTGGATTGCTCAGGCCTAGGATTACCGGACAATGCCCAATCACTGTAACTCTGCTGCAGAAAAAGAGTCCAGCAAAAGACCAACTAATGCTGGCCTCTAGGCATCGAATTGTGTTGGCATCGAATTGTTGCCAGTGTAAGCCACCCTGAGTCTCTCCCCCCCCCCCCGGGGGGGGGGGGGTTGAGAAGGACAGGGTACAAATGTTTGAAATGAATGAATAAATAAATAGGGTTTTTAAATGCTTCACCCAAAACTAATTAAAGGAAGGCATCTACACTGTTGAGAAAACCAACAGGAGAAACTAAAGAAGAGGAGAGGAAAAGGCAGAGCCAAGACTTCACACTGGCTGCCTTTCGTTGGACTATTTGAAGCTTCCGAACAGTCTTCAAAGGCCAGCCCACATAGAGCATTACACTAAGATACTTGTTATACCCAAGGCCTGCAGGTCGAATCCAGCCTTCCATGTCATTTTATGTGGCCAATGTGGTATTCAATGCCATGGCAACATAGTTATATTTATATAGTACAGTGTTTCTCAGACTGTGCTCCTCCAGGTGTTTTGGACTTCAGCTCCCCAAAATCCCAGCCAGCTTAACAGCTGTTAGGAACTGTAGGAGCTGAAGTCCAAAACATCTGGAGACGCATAGTTTGAGATATAGTCTTACATTACAAACTGTCCTTTGAATGCAACCATAAGGCTGATGTGGGACTTGGTGAAAATGGGTTTGACACCCCTACATTAAGATGTGCTCAATATCTCCTTGTGGGATGTCCAACAAAACAAGTTATGCCTGTGTAAGTCACCCAAAGGATTGCGGCAGCACACGAAAGACAAGTGAGACCTGGGTAAGGCTGGTACATGGTACATGGCACTTCCTCCCTAAGTTTGCATGTCTTCCTTGAGACCAAACCAGGTTGACTGGTACTCATTTTCCTTCTCATTTCCCAGTCTCTCTGTCCCCACAGGATGTTGATGATGCTGCATTAGCTCGGATAGACCTGGAACGCAAAATTGAATCCCTGCAAGAGGAGATCAACTTCCTAAAGAAGATTCATGATGAGGTACAGAGTCCAGCATAAAATTAGCATGTTCTTTCTTGAGAACCAGCTATGAGATGTCAACTGAAGACCCAACTTCATAGTCTTGCTCAGCATAGTCTTGCTCATTCTGGCTTTATCACACAATGGCTAGTGTAAGAACTTTACTGTAAGGCAAAGAAAAATGCTAACCACACAAACCTAGAGAAAAAACAAAGCAGTAGACTGATAGATTTAAACATTGCATATGAGATGTGGGAAGAATAAAACTGGGCAAACATGGTCATGTCCAGAGAGAAGAACATAGGCTGAAAGGAACCACACACATAGGAGGAGAGAGGAGAGAAACACCTAACAGAAAGGGAGAAAACAAGCCAACCCTGTACCCTCTTACAACCTCCCTGCCACCAGAAAGTATGTTAAAACTATATTTTTTGTTACTTTTCATCTCTTCCTGCATTTCCAAATTGTGCCCTTCTCAGACTTTCAGTAAATTTGTGTCACAAGCAAATTGAAATACACTTATAATTTAAAAAAACAAAAAAACAAAACAAACACAAACAAAGTTTAAAAACTTGGCATTATGCTAGATTTCCTTTGACCAGAAGCTGGCCACTTGGAATGCCTCTGATGTCGCTGTAAAAAGGTCCTCCATTGTGCATGTGGCAGAGCTCAGGCTGCATTGTAGCAAGTGGTCTGTGGTTTGCTCTTCTCCACACTCGCATGTCGTGGATTGAATTTTGTGGCCCCATTTCTTAAGATTGGCTCTGCATCTCATGGTGCCAGAGCTGAGTCTGTTCAGCACCTTCCAAATTGCCCAGTCTTCTGTGTGCCCAGGGGAGAGTTTCTCATCCAGTCTCAGCCACTGATTGAGGTTCAGGGTTTTAGCCTGCCACTTTTGGACTCTAGCTTGCTGAGGTATTCCTGTAAGTATCTCTGTAGTTCTTAATAAGTTGTTTCTTGAGTTAAGCCATTGGTGTGCTGGCTGATATCTGAACAGAAGATGGACTTGAGATGTCAGGAGAGATGCAAAAGAGTGAGCAGTTGGGAGAGAGACATAGAGGTTTTGTGAGGTCAGAGGCAGACTTCATGGTGCCATATTGGAGACCTCTGTAATTGTTGACAAAGCCAATGTTTTTCAGCTGGCTTGCTAACTTTAAATGATGTTGTTTAATTTTACAGCTAACTTTTAATTATACTTTGGGGGATTTTATTATATTGATATCCATACCTCAGTTCTCTGGTGGATAAAAACTCCAGGGGTGGAGTACTATTCCGTATGAATCAGATTTGGCTTCCTTTGAAATTAGGTCTCTGGAGTTTTATGGTATTCTGTAACATTTGCATTTATTTCCAAACTGGTGAAAATTCACTGGTGGAGATTCACCCACAGATCTTCCAGAACTCCAACTTGGTTCTCTAACCCGTTTTGTGTGTCAGAAAACTCATGCTGTTTGCTTTGTTCTCATTTACATGATCAACTGCCTGCAGAGGAAGCTAAATGCACAAATAGTGTGTATAGGCTGTGTGCATGCACACATTGCCCAATGTACATGGTTCATCAAGACCCACAGTTTAGGAATGGAAGGAATGTTTGAAAAAAATAGTAGAAAATATGTTCCTTGAGTGCCAAAAACCTTGACAATTAGACTCCCAGACAGATGAGAATTTTTCACATCCAATACTTTGGGTTGAATCCATGCCTGGGTTTTCTTTAAAAAACAAACAAACAAGAAACACTGGGTTGTTGTAAGTTTTTCCGGGCTATATGGCCATGTTCTGGAGGCATTTTCTCCTGACGTTTCGCCTGCATCTATGGCAAGCATCCTCAGAGGTAGTGAGGTCTGTTGGAAGTAGGAACAAGAAACAGTATTTTCTGTGCAGAAATATTTTCACCCTAGAAAATTCTGCTACACAAAAATACCATGAGCAACTTTGACACCGAATAAGTCCCAAACTACAAATACTGTTTGAAAACTACACAGCCCACAGTGGGAAGAACATTGCCAAAATTGTTCATTGCTTCATTCAAGACCAAAATTAATAAAGAAATACATCTCTGATTAAGACCTGGTTAGAAGACAATTAGTCCAGATTGGTCTAAAAAAGTGACTTCTCAATGATACAACTTCTCAAGTTTGTATGGGCTTTGCCTGTTGTTGTCACCTCTGTGTTTTCTTGTTTCATTTGAGGTGGAATTTTTTTAAAATAGAGGCAGGAATAGGTTTAGTCCTGGTCCTACCAATACCACCCCTCCAATAAACCGAAGCAGCACCGCACAGTGGAACAATTTTATTCTTTTCTCATCTGCTCTTTTTGTGAACCCGAATGACAATTTTTTTTCTGAAGTCAAAGAGGTCCATTGTGGAAAAATCCTGTTGGTTTCTGCCTTCACGTCTCTTCTGTCCCTCTCTCAGGAACTGCGGGAGATGCAAGAGCAACTTCAGCAGCAGCAGGTCCACATCGAGATGGACATGACCAAGCCAGACCTGACATCGGCCCTGCGTGAAATCCGCATTCAATATGAGTCCATGGCCTCAAACAACATGCATGAGACCGAGGAATGGTACAAGTCTAAGGTACACAGCACCAACCAGTCACAGTGGAGGCTGGGTTGGTGGAGAGAAAGTCCCATTATAATGAGTATGACAAAAATGCCAGTCCTGTTACAGTTCTGGTTGGTGTTTCTGGGTTTAAGCTGCATATGGGTTGACAGGGAAATTGTGGTACATCATCGCACTGAAGGGAACTCAGTGGATAGAAAGATGGTGATGATGATGATAATGATGATGATGATGATGATGATAACAACTTTATTTTTGTACCCCGCCTCCATCTCCCCGAAGGGACTCAGGGCGACTTACATGGGGCCAAGCCCAGTAACACAGTGTTAAAACATAGCATATAAAACATAACAGTAACATAAAACAACATTAAAACAACATTATATAAACAATAAAACAATAAACAACCATCATAAGTAACAACCAAAGACATACTTCAAGTCTCATTGTGGGAGGCGGGCTGGAGTGCAAATAAGTTGGAAAAAAGGCTAACCAGAAAAGTGCATAGATTGTGTTGCACTATAAGGAATAGAGCAGATTATAACAGGGACATTATGACTTTTTAAAAAAGTGCAGCAGCAAGGTGCAAGGACATAGTCTATTTAGGCCATGGATTAGAGCAGGCAGTCAAGGGAATTGTTTAATCAAATGCACAATGGAAAATCCACGTCTTTAGTTACTTACAAAACATGGATAGGGAGGGTGACAGCCTGATCTCCCTGGGGAGGGAGTTCCAAAGCTGAGGGGCCACCACCGAGAATGCCCTCTCTCCCGTTCCCACCAACCATGCCTGAGAGAGGGGTGGGATCGAGAGAAGAGCCTCCCTGGAAGATCTTAGACATCGTGTGGGTTCGTAGGGGAAGATGTGGTCATGTAGATAAGCAGGTCCCGAACCATTTAGGGCTTTATAGGTGATGATCTGCACCTTGAATTCAGACCGCATCTGTGAACTTTCATGTGGAAAATTTATTTATTATTTATTTAGAGTTTTTATAACCCGGTCTTCTCGACCTCCGAGGAGGGACTCAGGCCGGCTAACATTGAATCTTGTATAAGATTCAATACAATAAGAAAAAACAGTATAGATCATCAATGTAAAATACAATAAAATACAATTCATACAATTCGTATAAGTTACAAAAAAGTCAGTTTGTCAGAGTGAATCACAAATTCATCTCCATCCACCAGAAAGGTCAGCAGTTATTGACTCAGTCATCATTCTGCAAATGCATTATCCTAAAGCCATGTTTTTACCAGCTTTCTAAAAGTCAGGAGGGAAGAGGCAGATCTAATCTCCATTGGGAGGGAGTTCCAGAGCCGAGGGGCCACCACCGAAAAGGCCCTGTCCCTCGTTCCCACCAAACACGATTGCGAAGGAGGTGGGACCGAGAGCAGGGCCCCTCCAGAAGATCTTAACAACCTTGATGGTTCATAGGGGAGAATCCATTCGGACAGGTAAATAACCGTTTAGGGATTTATAGGTCAACACCTTTCAGGTCAGTACTGGAAAGTCAGCTTTCAGGTCAGTACTGGAAAGTCAAGCTGTGTGATCCTCCATTCTTTTTAATTGAATATTGAATATTACTTTGTGTGTGTGTGGAATGGGGAGAACTGGCTAGAGCACCCCATCTCACTAAAAATGTGCCATTTATTTTGATCTTTACAAACCAAACTGGACTGTGCAATTAATAACTGATGGCTCAGTTTCTCTCTTCTAACTATTGTCCGAGGTTGCCATAGTGGCCTTGTTGGCTACAGAATTATGGAAAGTGGAATATCAAAATGTTAAAATTAAAATTGGAATTTCAAGATCTGATTACATCTATCTGTCATTATTACTGTTAACAGCAGGAAAAAAGAAAAGTTGTTGCTAAGTGCCATCAAGTCAACTTTGACTTGTGATGGCCCTGTGAAGGAGAGACCCAATCATGAACAGCCTCACTGAGTGATTGGGTGACGGGGGTGGGATCGAGAGAAGAGCCTCCTGGAAGATCTTAGAGATCGTGTGAACAGCCTCACTGACTGAGGCCTGTGACTTCTTTTATTGTGTGTGGACTGCAGTCTTCCACTCTTCCTTCTGTCTTCTACCTTACCAAGCATTATTGTCTTTTTAGTGTCTTCTCATGATATGCCCAAAGTACAACAGTCTGAGTTTTGTCACCTTCACTTCTGGGGACTATTCAGGTTTATGATCCATTTATTTTTCTACAGTATCCAGTGCAGACATAGAACTTAATGGCATTTTGGAAAAATAACATTTTGGAGACATGAAGAACAGCTATTATCAGCAAGCTCAGCTCCAAATTCAGTAACAGCATATCCCTTTTCTATGGAATGACTTCCTGTTCTGACTATGAGTTTGCTGATGCCCTGGATGCAGAATTGAACATGTTTGGTTCAATTCTGAACCAAATATGAAGTGAAAGATTTGGAGGTGTCTCCGAGCCCTTCGACACAGCCATATAACCCAAAATATAAAGGCAGATAATCCACAATATCAGTTTTATAGGGAGCGAACAACCCCCCTGTTCAAGGAGCTCCATTGGCTGCAGTTCATTTTCCGGTCCCAATTCAAGGTGGAGGTCATCATCTATAAAGCCCTGAATGGTTTGGGATCCACCTACCTTTGTGACCGCATCTCCTACCATAAACCTGCACAATCTCTTCGATCTTCTGGAGACAGGCATGTAGCTGAAATTCTCAGGGTGGTCCGTGAGAAGACCTTACTGGTACATTATTTAAACTATTATGTTTATTCATATCATGATCTGATCACCATGCTCAATATATCCCATATGCATGGGCTATTGGGATAATTATACAAAAGGTTTGCTAGGGTAGATCTCACACGCTCCCCCCCCCCAACCCCCCCCCCCCCCCCCCCCCCCATAAACTCAGCCTCCCGAATCAAAATCTTGGCTACGGGCCTGTCTGGAGAGGCCCTCCTTTTGCCCCTTCCTCTATCACAGTCCCTTGTAGGAATGAGGGAGAGAGCCTGCTCCGTTGTAGCCCCCCAGCATTGGAACTCACTTCCTGGTGAGATTAGGCAAGCTCCCACCCTAGCAGCCTTTAAGAAAGATCTAAAAACTTGGCTCTTCCGATGTACCTTCGGAGAGTGACCATTCAACCCATTTTGTTTGCTTCCATCTACAGTTGTCCTCATGATGCACTTCCCCTTGTCCTATCTCCCAGTGTTTTACATTTTATCTTTGAATTTGGCCCTGCCCAGTGTAATAATTTGTATTTTAATGTTTGATTTTATGCTGCTGTGTCGCTTATTGATATTGGTTTTGCATTTTATGTAATTTATTTTCTGATTTTCTGTTGTGTTTTTGTGTTTATATTGTGCTTACTGTATTGATGTAAGCCGCCCCAAGTCCCCTTGGGGGAGATGGAGGCAGAGTATAAATAAAGTTTTATTATTATTATTATTATTATTATTATTATTATTATCATAAAGGCCAAACCCCACTGCTCCCCCTTCTTGGACTCCTCCCGCACAAATACACTTTTTCTATTCCTATCTCACCCAGGGTTTTAACATTTTATCACATGCATTTGGCCCGCCCTTTATATTGATTTGTTTTATGTCATTTTGCACTGTTTATTTCATTTTGTTACTTTATGTATTTTGTTGTGATGTATTTTTTCTATTGTTTTGTGTCAAACTTTGCTGCATTATTTTTGGGCTTGGCTTCATGTTAGCTGCCCCGAGTCCCCTTTGAGGAGATGGTGGCAGGATATAAATTAAGTTTATTATATTATTATTACTGTATATACTCGAGTATAAGCCGAGTTTTTCAGCCCTTTTTTTAGGCTGAAAAAGTCCCCCTCGGCTTATATTTGAGTCAAGGTTATTTATTATTTTACCCTGTTAGAAATACATAATAAATGTGTTGTTGTTGTTGTTGTTGTTGTTGTTGTTGTTGTTACATTGATAATTCTACTTTATTATTGTTTTTTATTATTACATTTATTATTTTACTCTATTATTACTGTTATTATTTCATTTCCATTATTTTACTCTATTATTAGTAGTAGTATTATTACATTTATTATTTTACTCTATTTTTATTGGAAGGATATGCAAGCACATTTCTATTGAAGAAGGTTAGAATAAAGGTTTAATCAGAGTTCCACAGTCTAATCTTAAATTATAGTTTTATGTAAATATTCAAAACATTTAACCTACTGATGCCTCAATTAATGTAATTGTATTGTATCTATTTTTATTTTGAATTTTACCAGTAGCTATTGCATTTCCCACCCTCGGCTTATACTTGAGTCAATGTTTTCCCAGTTTTTTGTGGCAAAATTTGGTGCCTCAGCTTATATTCGGGTCGGTTAATACTCGAGTATATACGTTATATTATTTTGAACTGGGTTATCTGAGTCCACACTACCATATAATCCAGTTCAATGTCGATTTTATACAACTGTGTGGAAGAGGTCTCAGATATGCCCCTCTCTCTTTTGAAAATAAATATCAGTTGCAACCTTTGAAACTAGTTTAACTTTTTCCTGATAGTTTGCTGACCTGACTGATGCAGCGGCACGAAACATCGAAGCTCTGCGTCTAGCCAAGCAGGAGGCCAATGAGTACCGCCGACAACTGCAAGCCCTCACTTGCGATTTGGAGTCCTTGAGAGGATCGGTAGGTAGAAGTGATGCTTCTAAGACAGAAGTTTAATGGTTTGACCTGGTTGCAAGCTGTTATTGTGTGCAGAAAGTAATTACAGTAACATTCTGGTTGTGAGGAGCGGAGATCAGTAGGTTTTTTTTGAAAGCCAAAACCAAGGTTACAACAACATCTGTTATAGAACTCCAGTATGCTAATGACAACGTCATCTGTGCGCATTCAGAAGCAGATCTACAAGTCACTCTAAACACCTTTGCAGAAGCATACGAGAAGCTCGGCCTGTCATTGAACATTGAAAAAACCAAGGTGCTGTTCCAGCAGACACCAGCCAACCCCTCTCCAATGCCAGTGATACAGCTTAATGGTGTAACATTAGAAAATGTTGATCATTTCCACTACCTTGGTAGCCACCTCTCTACCAAAGTCAACATCGACACCGAAATACAACACCGCCTGAGCTCCGCAGCATTTTTCCGAATGAAGCAGAGAGTGTTTGAGGACCAGGACATCCATAGGGATACCAAGGTGCTTGTTTATAGAGCTATTGTCCTCCCAACCCTGCTATATGCCTGTGAGACGTGGACTGTCTACAGACATCACATGCAACTCCTAGAACGATTCCATCAGCGCTGCCTCCGAAAAATCCTGCAAATCTCTTGGGAAGACAGGCGGACAAACGTCAGCGTGCTGGAAGAAGCAAAGACCACCAGCATCGAAGCAATGGTCCTCCGCCATCAATTCCGCTGGACTGGCCACGTTGTCCGGATGCTTGACCACCGTCTCCCAAAGCAGTTGCTCTACTCCGAACTCAAGAACGGAAAACAGAATGTTGGTGGACAGGAAAAGAGATTTAAAGATGGGCTCAAAGCCAACCTTAAAAACTCTGGCATAAACACTGAGAACTGGGAAGCCCTGGCCCTTGACCGCTCCAGCTGGAGGTCAGCTGTGACCAGCAGTGCTGCAGAATTTGAAGAGTCACGAATGGAGGGCGAAAGGGAGAAGCGTGCCAAGAGGAAGGTGCGTCAAGCCAACCCCGACCGAGACCGCCTTCCACCTGGAAACCGATGCCTTCACTGTGGAAGAAGATGCAGAGCAAGAATAGGGCTCCACAGCCACATACGGACCCGCAAAAACACTGGAAGACAATCATCCTCGGAAAATGAGGGATTGCCTAAGTAAGTAAGTAAGATCAGTAGTTGTTCCAACTGACTGTATCAACTGATGAGATGAGAAGAAATAGTAGAGCCCGCTTTTTGGCTCCTTTCTCGTGGATTTCATTGCCATTCCTCCTCGCTGCAACAGAGGGTGAAATCATGAAGGCCCACAATCATTGTTTGTACCCTTCCATAATTGTCTCCTGCGATAACCATGCCACATCTTAATCCATGGACTTGCTTATTTTCCTTTCATTGGTCATTTTTTTTATTTGAGTCCATGGCTCTTAGATTAGAAGAATCTCTTAGACTATAAAATGCCTTGAGTGATTGAGCAGAAAGTCAGGATATTAAGTGAGTCATAATTAAGTAATGTGTGTTGTTCCAAAATATGTATTGTTCTCAGGCTACAAGTAGTGGCCAATGCTCCTGCCATTGACATTGCTGGTGGCATTGGTAATCCACTTGACTCAGCTGCAAGCAGAGGGTGTCCCTTTCCCCCTGTGCAGGTTAGTAACAGGTCATTGCCTTGTTGCACTAATCAGAAACCCTTCAATTTTTCTCATTACAGAATGAATCTCTGGAGAGGCAGCTGAGGGAGATGGAAGACCGCTATGCCCTTGAGACTACCAGCTACCAGGACACAGTGATTCGACTGGAAGAAGATGCCCGGGGCCTTAAAGAAGAAATGGCCCGTCACCTCCAGGAATATCAGGACCTCCTCAATGTCAAATTGGCATTAGACATTGAGATTGCCACTTACCGCAAACTTCTGGAAGGAGAGGAGAGCAGGTGAGACTCATAGAGATACCCTTCTGTATCATGCATCTACAGGACTGTGTAACACCTTTCACCACTGAAGTTCTTCTTCTAAGTTGGTCTTCTTCTAATAATAACAAATACCAAAGTTTTTTAAAGGTCTGTAGGCTGGTTCTGAAGCCCCTTCACACAACACATTTATGGTTCCACTTCGACTACCGTTGTTGTTTCCTGTGCAATCCTTTTATTTAAAGCTAGGTAATTCCCCGGTGGCGCAGTGGGTTAAAGCGCTGAGCTGCTGAGTTTGTTGACCGAAAGGTACCAGGTTCAATTCCGGGGAGCGGCATGAGCTTCCGCTGTCAGCACTAGCTTCTGCCAACCTAGCAGTTCGAAAACATGCAAATGTGAGTAGATCAATAGGTACCACTCCAGTGGGAAGGTAACGGCGCTCCATGCAGTCATGCCGGCCACATGACCTTGGAGGTGTCTATGGACAACGCCGGCTCTTTGGCTTAGAAATGGAGATGAGCACCACACCCCAGAGTCAGACATGACTGGACTTAATGTCAGGGGACAACCTTTACCTTAATTCCCATTAACCCCGGTGGCGCAGTGGGTTAAAGTGCTGAGCTGCTGAACTTGCTGACCAAAAGGTCACAGGTTCGAATCTGGGGAGCGGGGTGAGCTCCCGCTGTTTGCCCCAACTTCTGCCAACCTAGCAATTGGAAAACATGCACATGTAAGTAGATCAATAGGTACCACTCCAGCAGGAAGGTAATGGCGCTCCATGCAGTCATGCTGGCCACATGACCTTGGAGGTGTCTACAGACAACACTGGCTCTTCGGCTTAGAAATGGAGATGAGTGCCAACCCGCAGAGTCAGACACGGCTGGACTTAATGTCAGGGGAAAATCTTTACCTTTACCTCATTCCCATCAGGTTTATGACTGGTGTCCTTGGCTTTGTAAAATGATTGTTCTTTCATATTATACCATTCTGAGTAATTATTCTGTATGACTTTTTCTTCTCACCTCTGGTTCTTTTATTTTAATTTATCCAGAAAAAAAGTCTAGAATGAATAAGAGTCTCTGAGTCGCCTTCAGGCTGATATGGGCAGGATACAAATGTTGTAAATAAATAAATAAATAAATAAATAAATAAATAAATATTTTGGGCTATTGTGATCATATTCCCACACTCTTAATCTCTGTTTATTTGTTAATTTGCAGGATCACCATCCCAGTGCAGACCTTCTCCAACCTTCAGATCCGAGGTGAGAGATCCATTGAGTCAAACTCGTTGAACACTGCACCAATCCCATAGTCATAATTCAGCTGCTTCATTTATATCTGTATTGTGATGAGATTAGAATACCAAGTCTGCAAACTTTGTGTTTTGTTTGTTTGTTTTTAATGCAATACAACTGTTTTGGTTCGCTCCTGACATGATAAATAAACATCATGGTGAGATGTTATTCTGCAATTCTGTCACTCGCTGAACACCTACTTACACAGCTAGGTTTAACTTTTCCTAAATACCAGGGGGGGGAGGCCAATCTGATCTCACTGGGGAGGGAGTTCCACAGCTAAGGGGCCACCACCGAAAAGGCCCCATCCCTCGTTCTCACCAGTCGCACCTGCAAAGGCGGTGGGACTGAGAGCAGGACCTCCCCAACAAATCTTAACACTCAAATGGGTTCAGAAAGGGAGATACATTTGGATAGGTAAGCTGTTCTTCTGTTCAGTGGGCTGCTACAGTTCAAACCTACTTACTTTCAACAACAAATGCTGTTTCAGATGCTTTCAGATTAAGAGTGTTTACTTAAATAAACTCTATTCTCCAAGGAAGATCACTGTAGACCTCAAAGCTTGGGGCTCACAGGTCTGCAACTGATGGGCCTCAGCTTCTAACGTCCAACACAATGATTACCAAACACTCTGCCACACTTTCTCTTACGCTGCTTCTCAGCTGTTCCAGTGAGAACCAGGTTAGAATACTGCACAAAAATCTACCCACAATGCACATATATATATAGCATATAAACATACATAACCTCCTTCAGTCGCCGACAGGCTGAGAAAGGCGGTATACAAATACAGTGAATAAACAAATAATTAAATATTCGATGCCATAGACACATAACATATATAGATAGAGACACAGAGGCTATTTAACTTTCCAGCTTCATGAGGGTATGCTGTTTGAATTCCAGCCACCGGGGGAGCTGTTGCTTCACCATCCACTTGTGACACCGATGGAGTACTTCCTTATTCTTTGCACACTGGAGAGTGTTTATGGCATCGTAAATTTTAAAAAATAAGCCTCCTCGCATAAGCGGTACCTAAATTTCCTACCTGAGAGATGCAACTGTCTTTCGGGCTGCAAAGGTCGACAGTAAGCTACACAAATGGCCAGAAGCTCACTCTGACCCAAGCTGGCTTCGAAATCATGACCAGTAGTGATTTTAATGCAGCTGACTCCCAACCAGCTGCACCACAATCCGGTCTGTCATGGAATCCATTATGTCATGGAATCCATGGAAGTGAGGATAAACAGATGTAAAAAAGAAAAATCTTAATAAAATATGAGACAAAAACTGCTTTGAACCTCACATTTCTTCATTCCCAAAACCTGAAGTTGAATGTTTGGGCTATGGCAAGTCTCACCTTAGCTAGTTCAGCTTAATTCTAGAGTAGATGCCCCAGATAATTTTTAAAAATAACCTTTAAAAGAATGCTTAAAGTGCTTTGAATCAATTCCCAATTTATTCTCAGAAAGCCTTATAAAATGATTGATCTAGGGGGCTGACAGCATGGTGACTTTCTTCACGACATGGCTCGTACAAATTATGAAGACATAATTTGTGTATATTTAGCCAAGGTTTCAAATTGTATTGAAATAGAAAATATACAATGTGAAAAATAAATGAAATCTAAGAACATATAATATAAAATTATATATGCTATATCTATGCAATGAATAAGATTAAGCTTGTTCAGTAGACATACCCAGTAGAAAAGCTTGCTATAATACATATATTTCCAACATACAGCTGAATATAGGATTTGTTGAAGGTTGTCTATTACACTATGCAACATTATTTTTGTTCCTGGGTTATAAATGTCATTTCCTAATTGGTTCTATCATCAAAACGTGGAAAAAAATTATTAAATTACAAAAAGTTAGTTATTGTGGAATGTACTGCAGCATATTTTGCTCTAGTTTTTCAATGAATATCTTCTAGAATCTCAACCAATTCAACATAATTTGTGACAGCCACTAAAACCAAATTTCTGGAGTATAACAACTATTTTCAAAGTAAGTACCACATATTTAAACAGGAATAACACTTTCAAACAAGGAACATAAATTTGTTCAAATGTTGTTACATAGTGTTATTAGAGGAACTAATATACCCATGTAGTGTGAGCCACCGCACTAAATGCCTTGCTCTGGATGTTTTGTGAGGTCAACGTTAGTTGAAATTTATTTATTATTCATTTCCTATATTTATTATTCATTTCCTAGATCTGTAAGCCGATCTGACGGGGACTCAAATCAGCTTACAGACTGGCCACTTCAGTGCCACATTTCAATACAAATATATAAAATACAACACATTAAACAATTGGTACCATGAATTGCACTCTGTCTATAAACCTATGCTCTTATACTGGGGCCTGAGCTCCACAACAGACAATGGGCCTTGGCAGGCCCGTAGCCAGGATTTTGATTCGGGGGGTGCTGAGTTTGATTGGGGGGGTGCTGAGTTTGATTCAAAGGGGGGGGGCTGAGGGTCTACCTTAGCAAACCTTTTGTATCATTATCCCAGTATCCCCATGCATATGGGATATATTGAGCATGGTGATCAGATCATGATATGAATAAACATAACAGTTTAAATAATGTACCAGTAAGGCCTTCCCACGGACCACCCTAAGAATTTCGCGGGGGGGGGGGGGCTGAAGCCCCTCAAGCCCCCCCCCCCCCCGGCTACATACCTGGGCCTTGGTAACAAACCCTCTTAGCCACAACCTCTGTTTCCTTTCATGTCTGCTGTTTTTTAGACTTCATTTCATTGCACACCTCTTTTTTCCATTGCTTCTTCTGCATAGATCACTACATATGTTTCTGACAACATTTGGAAGCCTTCCTTAAAATACATTTTAATTAAGGTTCTTCTGCATTCTGATATTGTTAGAGACCCCCAAGATAGGCCCCAACGGTCGCAGGAAGCAAACAGATGAACACCCAGTCTCAGGAGTAGATCAAAAGCAAGGTTTATTTCATCATAATCATGAAGGAGATGGCCAGCCATACCAAACATGCAGGTCTTGGTACTTTAAAGAGGCTGCCATGCCCAGTGTCTCTCAAACTCACATTATATAGACAAGACACAATACTGCAGAAAAAGTTGTCCAATTACAAGCTGCCACTTAGGCTTAATTCCTTATTTAGCACATTGACTAACTAACTTCTCCAATTCCTTATTTGGCACATTGACTAACTGACTTCTTGTAAATCACATGATTTCTTGACAATGGAAAGTACAAAGCCCAAATAGTTCTTTCCCCCCATATGTGGCAATAGGCACTTTGTCAGCTTTTTAGCCTTCTGCCAGAACTGTCTTGTGAAAGTTGTTGATTGCACATGTTTCTTAGGTGCTAACCACAAATGTTCCAGACAAGACGGACCCTTAGCAGAAACTCATTTCAAAATACAAAGGGGGTACATTTTTAACTTTGCTTTCTCTAGTTTCATGATTATTGCCCTATCAATATAGCTATGCAAAATGTCTTTGTCATAGAGACATTTATCAGTCCAAATGCTAGTGTTTTTTGGATGAGCAGTGTCTAATAGGGCTGGGCGGTTTCGTTTCGTTAATTCGTAATTCGTTAATAATTCGTTAATTTTTTCAATTACAAAACGATAACGAACCATTCTGGAGCAATTATTAAAAAAACGAATTTTCAAAAACGTTTTGTAAATGCTTCGTATTTCGATATTGTATTCGTTTCGTTATTGTTTTGAGGTCGTTTCGTTATTATTTCCGCATGTCTGGGCAAGTTTTATGGTTTAATTAGTGAAAAAAAATTATAATATCACACCAACAGTCAACAACAGAGGGAGAGGGAAGCTTCAGAAGGTTTTGGAGGCTTTTTAGCGTATTTCGCGGTTGCGTCCGCCATTAACGAATCGATTCGTTATTGTTTCGGAAATCGATTCGTTAATTTTTTACCATTTACGAAATTTCGTAAATATCGAACTTTTTAAAAGGAAAATTTTGTAATTATTTTAAATATATCGAAACAAAAAAAACCCCCAAATACAAATCGATTTTAGAAACAAATTTTTCCGTTGTTACCCAGGCCTGTCTAACTGTGCCCACTCACTACATATTTAGTTTTTGTTTAGCCCTTCACCCTGAGCATTCAGTAATAAATTCAGAGCTCAGTTGAAGGGTTTTCGTTCAATTTGTCCTGTTTCTACACCCCTGCAAAGATAATCTGTATTACTCTCTGTACCCTCTTCTTGTAGTCTGTCCCATCACTGTCTATCAAGCAGTAGACCCCAGATCACAGTTCAATATATTTTTTTTCTATTTTATGACAATAATTAGGCTGATTTTCTTTCCCTGCTCCCACTAGAAACCAGCTTGGATACAAAATCTGTTTCTGAGGCTCATCTGAAGAGGAGTATTGTGGTCAAAACAGTGGAGACAAGAGATGGAGAGGTAGGAAAAGGCTACCCATCGAAAGCCTTCTGATCACAAAACTCAAAGTAGAATATTTAGTTCAACTATTTGTCTCCAAATAGTTGAAAATTCCTTGAACATGAATGTCCCAGACCTCTTGGCAAAAGAAATAATTGTCTCAGTTTCTCAAGTTATCTGCCTTTTATGTTATTTCTCTTATTCTCCTTTTAGTTAGGAAGCATCTTTAGCATCTTCAAACTATTTTTTTCTTTTCTGTAGTTTTAATCTGTTGCATCTTTTCTTGTCATCTTTACGTAGATGAAGGTACCAAAGTTCTTCATAAACTGACAGAATATCTTGAGCTAAATTTAATTTTGACTTTATGTACCCATCATTTCTCTGCCTTTCTTCATATGATCGGTTTTTCAGGACCTGACATTCCTCTGCATCCCGCTTTACCAGTACTGACTTCTCACTAGTACTGAGCAAAGTAGTGTCATAACCTTTCAAGCCATTGATTTGATTATTTCCTTTTGATTTGAGAAACAGCCTTGGCCTTCTGAGCTTCAGTTATCAATCACTTGTGTACCTCTGAAGCTGTGTGCATGTATATGCGTGTTTGTGTGTGAGAAAGACTGAAGAAGAGAGGGAGTCACTTAAGGCCACCAATTGAGCAAGTACATGATAAATTCAAATAAGGAGCTGTTTGTTTTAGATTATACTTGACTATACCGCACACGTTTATTGATGTGCAGGGAAACACACAAGTACAGGATAATCACATGTGATAGATGTTCCAGATAATATGTGTGCTTGCAAGAGAGTATTTATTTATTTATTTATTTATTTACTACTAGCTGTCCCCTGCCACGCATTGCTGTGGCCCACATGGGGGTTCTGTGTAGGAGGTTTGGCCCAATTCTATCGTTGGTGGGGTTTAGAATGGTCTGTGATTGTAGGTGAACTATAAATCCCAAATGTCAAGATTCTATTTTCCCCAAACTCTACCAGTGTTCACATTTGGGCATATTGAGTATTTGTGTAGAGTTTGGTCCAGATCCATCATTGTTTGAGTCCACAGTGATCTCTGGATGTAAGTGAACTACAACTCCAAAACCAAAGGACACTGCCCACCAAACCCTTCCAGTATTTACTGTTGGTCATGGGAGAACTGTGTGCCAAGTTTGGTTCAATTCCATCGTTGGTGGGGTTCAGAATGCTCTTTGATTGTAGGTGAACTCTAAATCCCAAGCAACTACAACTCTCAAATGACAAAATCAATTTTTTGAATGAAGGACTTACATTAGGTTGTTAGGTGTCTTGTGTCCAAATTTGGTGTCAATTTGTCCAGTGGTTTTTGAGTTCTGTTAATCCCACAAACGAACATTACATTTTTATTTATATAGATATTTGTATACTGCTTTTCTCAGCCCTCAGGCGACTCAAAGCAGTTAACAATAGCAAAATTCAATGCTCAGAACAACATAAAACAATTAAAAACAATTAAAAACAATAGCATATTAAACAATCAATTCTACATCAATAAACATCTCGTTAGCGTCTCATAATTCGAATCAGGATCCAGTTTCATCATCCAAATGTTCCATATTCCTATATTCGTTACACTGCCTACTCAAATTCCTGCTTGAACAACTAGGTCTTCACTTTCCTCTGAAATGCTAACAAGGAGGTGGCTGATCTAATATCTGTAGGAAGGGCGTTCCCAGCTGAGGGGCCACCACTTAGAAGGCCCTGTCCCTCGTCCCTGCCAGATGTACTTGTGACGCAGGCGGGACCGAGAACAGGGCCTCCCCAGACAATCTTAATGTCCTAGAATTCATGTCTTCTGTTTTGTGGGTGTGTGGCCCTTATTATTTGTATCACCCAAAATAGTACACATATTTACCCCCAAGTGTTATGAGAGTGTGCAGGGTAATTTTGCCATGTTCTCCCAAGTTATTTTAGACCCAGAAGGAGCATCTTTTTACAAGTGGGAGTCATCTATATATCAACTTCCAGGCTTTTAAAAATCCTTTGGAAGTCCTTGTAAAGGTAAAGGTTTCACCTTGATATTTAGTCTAGTCGAGTCCAAATCTGGAAGGTGGTGCTCATCTCCATTTCTAAGCTGAATCATAGAATCATAGAATCATAGAATCAAAGAGTTGGAAGAGACCTCATGGGCCATCCAGTCCAACCCCCTGCCAAGAAGCCGGAATATTGCATTCAAATCACCCCTGACAGATGGCCATCCAGCCTCTGTTTAAAAGCTTCTAAAGAAGGAGCCTCCACCACATTCTGGGGCAGAGAGTTCCACTGCTGAACTTCTCTCACAGTCAGGAAGTTCTTCCTCATGTTCAGATGGAATCTCCTTTCTTGTAGTTTGAAGCCATTGTTCCGCGTCCTAGTCTCCAAGGAAGCATAAAACAAGCTTGCTCCCTTCTCTCTGTGGCTTCCTCTCACATATTTATACATGGCTATCATATCTCCTCTCAGCCTTCTCTTCTTCAGGCTAAACATGCCCAGCTCCTTAAGCTGCTCCTCATAGGGCTTGTTCTCCAGACCCTTGATCATTTTAGTCGCCCTACTCTGGACACATTCCAGCTTGCTGGGGTGTGTCCAGAGGAGGGCGACTGAAGAGCTGACGTTGTCCATAGATGCCTCCTAGGTCATGTGGCTGGCATGATTGCATGCAGCACCGTTACTTTTCTGCCAAAGCAGTAATAATAATAATAATAATAATAATAATAATAATAACAATAACACTTTCTTTATACCCCACCACCATCTCCCCAAGGGACTCAGAGCAGCTTACATGAGGCCAAGCCCAACAACACATCAATAAAACAACAAGCAATAATAAAAACAACAAGCAATAAGCAAAATAAACAATACAATTAGTATAACTCGGACATAGACAACAACACAGAAGAATTTAAAAACCTATGGCTGAGCCAGATGTAATAGTTAAAACTTTAAAAGTAAATGCTGGACATGAACAAAGGATGTATCTAGTAGGAGGGTTTTAAACCAAGAGTAGAGAGTAACCCAACGGGTAATTAAAGTGCTTTTCAGGATACCTATTGATCTATCCACATTTGCATGGTTTCAAACTGCTAGGTTGGCAGAAGCTGGGGCTAGCAATGGGAGCTCACCTCATCCCACGGATTTGAATCACTGATCTTCCAGTCAACAAGTTCAGCAGTTTAGTGGTTTAACCCACTATGCCACCACAGCCCAGCCTAAAGGGCCATAAATGGCCTGCAACCATACTTCCCCTCCCTTAGAGCCAAGCTAGATCTGATGTTGGAGGACCTATATATGAATCACCTGCTATTTGTAAACAAAGTCAGAGATGGATGGTCTAAACCGGAGGATGGTATAGTGGCTAATCAATTCTGCTATGGCTGTCTTCAAATAGTTTTCAACTTATAGTAACCTTAAGGTGACCCATGCAGTTTTTGGAGCTTAGTGCATATAACTCCCTCAAGGTCACCCAGTGGGTTTCCATGTCCAAGGAAGGAATTGCACCTTGTTCTCTTCCGTCATAGTCCAATGTTCAGACCACTGCACTACTCCGGCTGTCCTTCTTCCCCATTTCAGGTTGAATCAATTCCCCACACCTACTATTTGTTTCACAGGGAAAATATTTCAAAAAGGAAATGTCGGATACGTGCATTTGAAGGATTAAAATCTCTCCGTCCTGTGCTAACAATAAAGCCTTCTGACAGCTTAAAGACTAAGAAGTTCTGTTTTATGTAAGATTCATGAATTTAAATTCTCATCATCAAAGGACCTCAACCCAAATCCATTTCTTAAAATGTTTTTAAAAGTACAACTTTGATGGTGGATCTCCGTGCTATGTCCACTTTGGTCCCTGTGAAAAGACATACATATTTGTTAGCTTTTGTAATTTGGTAAAAAGTTGTGATTAACTGAAGTTTGAGCTAGGTCTCCAGGCGCCCTCTTGTGTTTTACATACAATTAGATAAATGGGTTGCTGTGAGTTTTTCGGGATGTATGGCCATGTTCCAATTGCATTATCTCCTGACATTTGCCTGCATCTGTGGCCAGTATCTCCAGAACTGGTGACAGGCAAAGCTTCAGGAGAGAATGCTATTGGAACATGGCCATACAGCCCAAAAACTCACAACAACCCAGTGATTCCGGGCATGAAAGCCTTTGACAACACAATTAGATAAATGATTGCTTTGCTCCCTTCTTTCCTCTCTCAAGACCATCATCTGTCATGGTAAAACTTTATTTTACGTGGGATGTAAACCTTTACTTTCCTATTTAGTAAGCCACAACAGAATAGGAAAACTTCCAGAATAGGAAAACTCCAGTAAGCACTTTATTAGAGTCCCAGAAGCACTTTATCAGAACTTTAAGATTCTCTGTAAACTGCACTTCCTTGAAATCCGATAGATCACCTGTCACATCCAGCACTTTTTAATCTGTAACCATTACTTGGCCCGGCCCTGTTTTTATTGCGTTATGCTGTATTGTTTTGTTGTTTTTACTGTTATTGCTTTAATGTTTTTGATTTGCTTTGAATTGTATTGTTATGCTATTGTGTTGTTGAGGCCTTGGCCTTTGTAAGCCGCATTGAGTCCTTCAGGAGATGCTAGCGGGGTACAAATAAAGTTTAATAATAATAATAATAATAATAATAATAATAAGGTTAGATAGGTTCATTCGGAAGAGCCTAAAAGTTGTAAAAAACTTCCAACTTCTACCTTCCAAAACAGTTTTGAGCCATGCAAGAAAGGTGGGAGGGGTAAATCCAAATTTGAACCACTTACCCTTTTTTTCGGAAATATTCCATAATGTTCGGATTTCTCCCAAGATTATTTTATTCCTTCCTTCTCCGTTTTCCCTCCTCTTCTTATCCCTCTCCCTCGGCTTGTGCTGGGCAAGGGACAAGAAGAGAAGGGAAAGCGGAGGAGGAAATGTCTTCTTTCTCCACTTTCCCCTCCTGTTCTTGTCCCTCGGCTTGAGCTGGGAGAGGGACAAGAAGAGGAGGGAAAAGCAGAGGAGGATATTCCATCCTTCTCCGTGTTCCCCTCCTCTTCTTGTCCCTCTCCCTGAGCTTGAACTGGGAGAGGGACAAGAAGAGGAGGGAAAAGCAGAGAAGGAAGGAATTTCCTCCTCCACTTTTCCCTCTTCTTCTTGTTCTTCTTCCTCGGCTTGAGCTGGGCAAGGGATAAGAAGAGGAGGGAAAAGCGGAGAAGGGAGGAATTTCCTTCTCCACTTTTCCCTCTTCTTCTTGTGGCTGGTGGCCTGAGGTGCAGTGGGGAAGGCTTGCCTGCTGCTGCCTGCATGGCTCTGGAGGTCAGGGAAGCAGACAGGCACCCTCGGGATGGGCCAGGAAGAGTAGCTGCACAAGCGCCCCAAGTCGCAGGAGGGCAAATGGAGCCGGAGGCACTTATTGCGGAACAGAACACCCTCGATAAGTGAGATAACACTGTACTATGATTTCTGTTCTCCATGAATTTAACACAGTTTGTGCCACACAAACAACTACTTTCAAAGTAAAGACCACTCAATGAAACAGGAAATAACACTTTTAAACCATTAACGAAGCCATTTGGAAGTCGCAGAAGTTTCGAAAAATTTTGAATTTTTTTTTTTGTGTGAAATTAGGAAGTGACTTTAGAAATGACCCACATCCGAAACTAGTTTTGAACCATTTTTTTGGATCAACCAAGACTAGTGTATAGCTTTGTTTTACATATCCTACAACAGAATAAACAATCCCTTTTACTAATACAACCCTAATACTACCGAAATACAAATTTCATTATTTAATATTCATTTAATTGTCACCAGAATTCTGCTCCCACTTCTCATGAAAACTGACTGTCAGATTTGGTGTTTATGAGTTGTATATGTGAAGGGGAGAAGAGAATGGTGGAAAGTAACTTGAGGCATTTGGAAAGGAACATACTGGTACACATTATCAAAATGAAGTGCAAATGATTTATATTTTATTGATCTTGATATGGTTTTATATTATAGGTTAATGTTTTAAAATGTTTTTATGGTGTTGTTAGGCATTGAATTGTTGCTTCTGTAAACCGCCTTGAGTCCCCTGTGGGATGAGAAAGGCGGTGAAGCATAAAATTACTGCCACCAATTTATATTGTGGTGAGGGAGAGACTATTGCTTTATTTAAGAAAAACCTCTTTGCTCTTATACTGATTCAGTTTCCTCTTTTATCTTGGCTGGGACTTTCTGTGTGCTGTTTAACCTTTGTACAGGCACTGAGACACATTTCTGTATAACAAAGTAAAACCGTTTATTTATAACTTCTGGCTCCAACGCTTGTGGTTACATTTGTGTTTTGTTGCAATCTTGAGGCTTACAGTCAGTATCATATATTTGGTTTATTTTCCTGAAATAGACTTTCAGTGTTTCACATTCACAAACATGTTACTTGCTTTACACACTCTTGACTGAAATTATATTCTGACTAAAGTACCACTGGCTTTCTTTATGTTCCTAAAACTTGAGCTCTATTTAACTAACTGCTTCTCTATATCAGAAATCTTTAACACGTCTTCACAATTGCTTATTTCTAACAGGAGCTCCTAACTCTTTTCTCTCACAGAAGTTCCTAACTGTACCTCACAAACAGGAATCCCTAACTCTCTAACTGTACCTCACAAACAGCAATTCCTAACTGTCTCTTTAGACTCCCTAACTGCCTTTTTTTAAACTTTGGCTCCGCCCCTTTGGAATGTTTAGCTCTGCTCTCTCTCCAACTGTCATTTTGGCCTAGCAGCCTTTTCAAATCCTGGGCCTATGCTAATCTGCATATGACCAATCGGCTTCCATATGCAAATGAATCCTATCTCTGCTGTTGCTACCCTATCTGTGCCTATTCTTCCCTATCTGTCATGTGTAAACATAGAGCTATATACCAAAAATTTAACATAGAGTAGCAATTTCGCTACAGGCGGTATACAAATACAGTAAATAAATAAATAAATACATAAATAAAGAAGAATCATCCCATGATAGCTAAAAAATAGGTGAACAACCAAACGTTCTTTTCTTCTCTTTTCTTTACCTGCAGGTGATCAAAGAGTCAACCCAGGAGCACAAAGAAGCGTGAAGCCTGACGCCATGAAGTAAAGGCAACACTAAGGGAGCATACGAAGACACTTGTATCCGTAGAATGCTAGGAAAGCTTCACTTCCTTCTGATGCTCGATTGCCATAGCCCTGATGTAGCTCCAGCCATGCCACAACCACATATAACATGTCTTTGCTAAGGGAACCAGCAAGGGGTGTGGAACATCTGCAAATCTAACTATTATTCCATCACAATAACCAGACTAATCAGGTCTCAGTAGAATATAATTATCGGCCTCATAGTATGTGGGTTTGGGATATATTCCTGCATCTCATCTTTTCTGTGTCAATCACAGAATCCAACAGATATGTGGTTTAAACCAAGCTATAGCTTTGTTGAGATTTTATCTTGATCTTAACGCCTAAATCTGATGCTTCTCAATAGAGCTGCTAATGAATAGGACACATTTTTACTCGTAATAAAGAACACATGATGTGTATAACAGAGAAAGACACTGCACCAGAGATACGGATAACCTATCCTACTGAATATACAGTCATTAGATCAAGCACTTCCATAGTAACTCATCGGGAATTTGTTCATCCTAAAGTCCACCCATTCCAGCTTGTTGTGGCTTAGATTTGAAACCCTCACCCTCTTTTCATTTCTTTTTTCTGGCAAGGAACCCATGTGTTTAAGAAATGTATGAAATCCACCATGGGTATGCATCTAACACAAGTCAGTAGTTGAATGGTAACCATTGAATTTTTACCTCTGACACAGCTGTTTAAACAAAGCAAACCGTGTGTGTGTGCCTTCCAGAGCTAGTAGCATTTTGGGAAATACTTTTTATGTTATTAATATCATAGAGGGAAATGAAAAAAAGTTAATGCCTGCTTCCTCTTAGGGGTAGGGCTTTTTTAATGGTTAAAAGCTAGCTTGCAATTGTCACAGGTGGCAACATTTCACTATGTTGCTATATCACATACATTTAGAACTGGCAATGAATTCTAGCTCTAGGCTGTTTCTTGCCTTTCTTTGTAGCACTTACGTCCTCTCATCACTCTTTTCTGGGGGCCCTTCTACACAGCCATATAACCCAGAATATCAAGGCAGAAAATCCCACAATATCTGCTTTGAACTGGGTTATCCACACTGCCATATAACCCAGTTCAAAGCAGATAATGTGGGATTTTGTACAGCTGTGTGGACAGGGCCTGAAAGACCATTGTATCAAGGTCACTCTCCAGCAGAACCTATTTCTAGCTGGTTGTTCCTTGTCTTACTGCTTTTGATTCAAATATGTATTACTTTTTGATATTCTTTTTTTATCTTTTTTTATCCTATGTTTCCTTCAAGGAGATAAAGGTGATGGGTGTGGTTCTGTCCACTCACCACAAGTTAGGTTAGGCTGAGAGATTAGTAAGTGGCCAAAACAAATGTGTGAGAATGTCAAGTAGGGGTTTGAACCTGGGTTTGAGCCTAGTCCTAGACCTAGACCAACACAATAGCCAGTACCAATAGTCAGTGCTTTGCAATGCAATATTGCATGCAAGTACATGCAATAAGACCCAGGGCAGATTAATATAACCTTCTGCAGAACAACCATAGGGCTGCCAAGGTGTATGGTATGCCCCCCATATCCATGGGCAGGCCCATAGCCAGGATTTTGATTTGGGGGGCGGGGTGTGTGTGAGTTTGATTCGACAGGGCTCAGGATCTACCTTAGCAAAGTTTTTGTATCATTGTCCCAATACCCCCATGCATATGGGATATATTGAGCATGGTGATCAGATCATGAAATGAATAAACATAACAGTTTAAATAATATACCAGTAAGGCCTTCTCACGGACCACCCTGAGAATTTGGGAGGGGGGGCTGAAGCCCCTCAAGGCCCCCCCTTCCCCGGCTACAGGCCTGTCCATGGGAGATAAATTCTTGGACTTTGCATTACTATGCAAAACAACAGAGAACAGTGAAATAAAGGATCTCCAGCCCAAGAATATCATAGTCGTGCTGGAGAACCTAGAAAATGGCTAGAGGGGTGTTGGGATGCACTGTCGTGTCCCTCTATTACCACATGGCCCAAAACCTCCATGGTCCTTTTATCCAGTCTAACACTGGAGGCAAGGAGATCATTCAACAGGTTTATTTGATCAAACCATCCTGCCAGGTGAATGAGAAAATTACCACACACAACTGAGATGCAGCTTGATTTTGTAGTCAACAGTTCGAGCATGCACACAGGCTATTTTCTCTTATTTGTGCCTCATCTCTAGCTCTTCCTTTTATTCCCTTCTGGTGCCAGTTCTTATCAGTATTCATGCGCCTGCTTTTTCTCAGTATCCGATTCCCCCTCCTGCGTACTTCCCCCTCTTGCACCTGCTGGTTACTAGGCATTTTAATAATAATAATAATAATAATAATAATAATAATAATAATACAATACACTTTATTTGTATCCCGTCCTATCTTCCCCTGGGGACTCAGGGCAGTTTCCAACAAAACAGGCAAACTAACCATTCTACAACAAATTAAAATGTGCAATTTACATCCAATAAAAACAATTAAGTTTTCCTCTTCTTGTCTGAACTCTCTTTTTTTTTTGGTTGGTAATTTTCCACCCTAACTTCAAGCATTCGCCATTGACTATGGGCCCTTCCACGCAGCTATATAACTCAGAATATCAAGGCAGAAAATCCCACAATATCTGCCTTGAACTGGGTTATCTGAGTCCACACTCCCATATATTCCAGTTTAAAGCAGATAATGTGGGATTTTATTCAGCTGCGTGGGCCTAAGATAGTTAAAACTGCGGGGATTCGCAGATCAACAACATCTGAAAGACTGAATAAGTTCCACCCTTGTTCTAAAGAGCATACCTGTTTGGAAGACAAGACAGTGAGAGATCTAAATATTAGGTCTGGGCGGTTTCGTTTCGTTAATTCGTAATTCGTTAATAATTCGTTAATTTTTTCAATTACAAAACGATAACGAACCATTCTGGAGCAATTATTAAAAAAAACGAATTTTCAAAAACGTTTTGTAAATGCTTCATATTTCGATATTGTATTCGTTTCGTTATTGTTTTGAGGTCGTTTCGTTATTATTTCCGCATGTCTGGGCCAGTTTTATGGTTTAATTAGTGAAAAAAAATTATAATATCACACCAGCAGTCAACAACAGAGGGAGAGGGAAGCTTCAGAAGGTTTTGGAGGTTTTTTAGCGTATTTCGCGGTCGCGGTCGCCATTAACAAATCGGAAAGTTATTGTTTCGGAAATCGATTCGTTAATTTTTTACCATTTACGAAATTTCGTAAATATCGAACTTTTTAAAAGGAAAATTTTGTAATTATTTTAAATATCGAAACAAAAAAAACCCCCAAATACAAATCGATTTTAGAAACAAATTTTTCCGTTGTTACCCAGGCCTACTAAATATACTAGGGAGAGGAAAGATCATGTTCTTCCTATTTGATCTCCCTACCACCTCCTCCTTAGCTCAGAAGTGCAAGAGGCAGAATTAACAGTCTTTTACGTAGGAGTATTTTTACTTTCTGCCATGAATGACTACTGCTTCTGTGTAAGAGGACACGGCAAACAGATCCTCCACGCAGTAGCAAACGTGGGAGACTGAGAAGAAACCTTTTTTCTCCTGTATTTGGCAACTGAAGTGTAGAACCAGAGCTCTGGAAAAAGGTGTCAGTCAGTGATTACTTAATTGTTACACCTCTTCTAAATTATCCTTATGCCCTGTTGCAGCTGCTGTCAGTTTCTATGGTATGAGCTGCTCAATGGAGTACTATCTCGGATCAGAGAAATAAAATTCAATTAAGCCCATTTTTATTAGACAAGCTGTGGCTGTTAATGCACTGTTTCACATCTGCCATTCTAGAAAGGATTCTTCATTCACCTTTTTTTTTTTTTTTTACTACTATTCCCATCATGTATAATTGCTGGTAGACTGGATATTCTTCTTGGTCTTTCTTCATCTGTTTTGGACAGAGGCAGACTGCATGAGGCTAATATTGAGCGCTTTCCACATCAGTGTACTCTTTTTGAGTGGGTAATTGTGGCTGTAGATGCAATTGGATAACTGCTTTTAAATGTATATATATTTAAACTTACTTACTTACCTCATTGTTCGAGTAGGATAATCTTCCAGGGTGAGTCCATAGGCGACTATGGAGCCCTATTCTTGATCTGCATCATTTCCTGCAGTGAGGGCATTGGTTTCCAGGTGGAAGGTGGTCCCAGTCAGGGTTGGCTTGACGCGCCTTCCTCTTGGCACATTTCTCTCTTTCGCCCTCCATTCATGCCTCTTCAAATTCTGCAGCACTGCTGGTCACAGCTGACCTCCAGCTGGAGCGCTCAAGGGCTAGGGCTTCCCAGTTCTCAATGTCTATGCCAGAGTTTTTATGGTTGGCTTTGAGCCCATCTTTAAATTTCTTTTCCTGTCCTCCAACATTCTGTTTTCCATTCTTGAGTTCAGAGTAGAGCAACTGCTTTGGGAGACGGTGGTCGGGCATCCGGACAATGTGGCCAGTCCAGAGGAGTTGATCACAGAGGACCATTGCTTCAATGCTGGTGATCTTTGCTTCTTCCAGCATGCAGACATTTGTCCACTTGTCTTCCCAAGAGATTTGCAGGATTTTCCGGAGATAGCGCTGATGGAATCACTCTAGAAGTTGCATGTGACGTCTGTAGACAGTCCATGTTTCACAGACATATAGCAGACATGGGAGGACAATAGCTTTATAAACAAGCACCTTGGGATCCCTACAGATGTCCCGGTCCTCAAACACTCTCTGCTTCATTCGGAAAAATGCTGCAATCGCAGAGCTCAGGCGGTGTTGTATTTTGGTGTCGGTGTTGACTTTGGTGGCTGCCAAGGTAACACACATAAAACTAGGGGATATGTCTTAGTTGTTGTAAAAATAGCATTTCCTTTATAAAATGCTATTTTAATCAAAGGATTCAGAAACTTAAGATGCTTTTTTAAATCCAGGTCTTAATGAAGGATATGGAAGGGGAGCCTGAGGGAGTCTCCCCCCCTCCCCCAATAATGGGCTAAATAGGGTGCTTCCTTAACCCCGTTGCTGACACCTAAGCTCCCTTGCAGGCCTGTAGCCAGGATTTTGATTCGGGGGGTGCTGAATTGGATTCGGGGGGGGGGGATGGGCTGAGGATCTACCCTAGCAAACCTTTTGTATCGTTATCCCATAACCCCATGCATATGGGATATATTGAGCATGGTGATCAGATCATGATATGAATAAACAAAACAGTTTAATTAATGTATCAGTAAGGCCTTCTTGCGGAACACCCTGAAAATTTTGGGGCGGGACGGGGGGGGGGGCTGAAGCCCCTGAAGCCCCCCCCCCCCCGGGCTACATGCCTGCTCCCTTGAAAGGAAGAAAGAAAAGGCTCCTAGGGGAAAGGGAAGCTTCGTAAGTTTCCCATTGCCACCAATGGGCCGAAAAGAGCCTTTTTTTTCGAATACTGAACAAAAACGCCCATTTGGCAGTGTGCCCATGTTCAGGGGTGCTGGAAAACAGATATGGGGGGCTTCTGGTACCTGGCAAGCAGAAATGGATAATGATTCACCCCAAATGCATAAGCCCAGTTGGATGTTGCAAGTCGCTCCAACATTTTGTGCCTTATCACCCTGTCACTTTATATCCAATTTGTGGCAATTTTAATACAGTGCTAGCCTATGTAGTGAAGGGCGGCAAAGTCTGTTGAGTCTTTTTCTAGAGAAATTAACTGTTTTCCCCTTATTTATTTTTATACCTGTTGCAAAACAGCATTTCTAAATCACTGCGCCATGTACAGACTAATCAAGAGACAACTCATCAATAATGCCACAACGTGCCCAACAGGAAGAAAATAGACAAAAGAAATGGCAAGGAGGAAGCTTCTAGTGACAGCTCTGTATTAAGTGCTGTGTGGAACTAATGCTTTAAATTGAAATATGAGGAACTATATGAGTATTTTAGGATGAGTGTGACTGTCAACAGAATACTTACTTGTACCCTTTTAGACTTAGACACGTCACAACTTATCATAGAGTTGCAAAGGAACTCTTTAAGAGAACATTAGGAAATTACAAGCACAGTTTTAGTTAAAATATTGCTTAATGTATTGTAGTTTCGGTTGACTGCAGGAAATAAATCAAATTAGTAGTCCTAAAGTATAAAATTAATTAATTAATAATCAAAAGTACTAAAGGGCTGTGAGTATGGTAGCAAGCAACAAGGCCATGATCCATGTGTTCTGCTTCCCAGTTGCAGAGGAAAGAACAAAAATAGAGAAACACAGCCCTTTCTAACACAATATTGTTATATGCAGCTATATCTAGAAATGCAATAATTGCAAACAGAACTACCATAGTAAACCCAGGATCGCAGTGGCTGCTATAGTTCTGCTAAGACAAATGTTAATTCAGATGTGTGTGTTTTCCTTTTGTAATAACTATCTGTATGATCTCAGGCTTCTGTGCCGTTCTTTGTATGCTAAACTTTCAAAAGTGTTTGCTTCCTATATTGGATTACTTTCTAATACTACCAGTTCTTAAAAGAAATCTGTATTTAAACTTTTTACAAATATTAAAAAGTATTGTGATGGGGAACATGACCCTATTTAAAATTGTGCTTTTACTGTTTTTAATCTTTCCTTTGATTAAAATAGTTTCACAAAGCAGTTTGTACCCTCCCCCAAATCCCATTGTCTGGTATAAGTGACTTATGAGGAACCGGGGGGGGGGGGGGGGGGGGGGGGGGGGGGGGGGGGAGGGTGAGTGGGCAACAACAAATTTAATTACAATATTTACAATACTGACACATATTCACAATGATGTGCTAATATCAAACATTAAATAACATTTAAAAATGGAATTGAACTGAAAGCAAGTTAATGGCCTGGCTAACATCTTAGAAGTCTGTTAACATCTGAATGACAATAATATAGGTACCCAGCAAGCCCTCCTTGGCATTCCCATTCCCAAAAACAAACAATGCCTTTCCCAAATAACCCAGATATCACCAGGTACCCAAGCTAGAACTTGATAAAATTGTTTAAAAATTGCCTATGCTTCTAGCTAAGAATATGTAACTTATTAAACTACAATTAGTGGCCTCTCAGCTATTGCTGGATTGCAACTTTTTTCAGTACTAGTCAGCGTAGCCATTGGCAAGGATGCTAGGAGCTGCAGTTGAACACCTGGAGGCAGGCCTGTAGCCAGGATTTTGTTTCGGGGGGGGGGGGGGGGAGCTGAGTTTGATTTGGGGGGAGGGGGCTGAGTCTGAGTGAAAGAGGGTCTACCCTAGCAAACCTTTTGTATCGTTACCCCAATACCCCCATGCATATGGGATATATTGAGCATGGCGATCAGATCATGATATGAATAAACATAACAGTTAAAATAATGCACCAGTAAGGCCTTCTCACAGACCACCATGAGAATTTCGGGGGGGGGGGGGGCTGAAGCCCCCCACCCCCCCCCCCCCCCCCCCCGGCTATACATGCCTGCCTGGAGGAAAACGTTCTCCCATTTCTTGTTTCACACCATCTCATTTTAAAGAGATGTGACCTTGGAAAGGGAATTTTAATATGTTTTTCTGCAACATTGCTTCTATTCAGTTATTTAATCCTTCAAGAGTCCACAATTGATCAATTAAGTATTTAAGCAGGCTAATAAAAATAATAATTATTACCAATAAATCACTCAGGGCCCATATACATTTTCCTACAGGATGTTATTCCTTAGCCGGGCCTTTTAAAGGCATACATGCAGAAGCGTACACAGTGGATAGTTGTAAAGATGAAAGTCAGAAGGACATAAAACGTGAAGATGGTCTTGATAGCATACTGTGCCTCAGGATCATCAAAGCTTCGCTTGCGGCGGCTCTCATACATCACAGATAATCGGAAACCAGCAACCAATTCTCCCTCTCGCCAGCAAAAGTAGATGCCTCTGTCACTCAGCTGGGCAAAGCGGATATGTAGATGGTTTCCATAGTCGATGAAGACCCTCATGCTCTTATTGACTCCAGTGAGGAACTTATCGAGATACAGCCGAGTCGAATCTTTGTCCCAGGCCACAGCATGCTCTGGCCTGGCACCAGGGCAGGAAATGATCAGGTCAGTGCCAAGGGTTTGCTTATGGAATTGAATAGGGATCTTAGAGACCCAGGGTGTTTCTCCAAGCTTTGATATAGCATCAGAAAGAGATTCCTCTCCTTCACTGGCTGGTATCTTTACTCTACAAGGTTCTGAGCAACTTCGGATAACAATCTCAGGTTTTCTGTTCTTAATAGCACGTTTAAACTGTTTTGGGATTGACCCTGAGCCACAGGATGCCACTTCTGCTGTGGCTGTACGGTATCGTCTGACCAAATAGGGACTCTTGATATAGCAAAGACCAATCCGACGTTGCTCACCTCGAACATCACAGCGGTTGCATATGGTCCAGTCCCAGAAGGCAGTGAAGATCTTGTACTGTTTTCCTTCCTTATCTTTATTGGGATGCTGATTCTTCTCTGTAAAGGCAACCCTTATACGCTTGGAAGCTTGGACATCTACATCATAGCCATAAAAGTAATCCCCCTTCTTTGTGCCACAGATATAATGCCCTGAATCTTCCACTTGAACCCGAAAGACAATAAGACTAAACATCCTAATGCTGAAGCGTCTGAGCATGTCAGTGCCCACCTTGATGTGCGTGGAGTCCACTATCATCGTGCCATCAAAGTCTGTCAGGACTTTTGTCTGCTGACTGCCCATATTTTTCTGGAAATACCAAACTACAGAGGAAACCTCTTCTGGCTTGCAGTTACAAGGCAACTCAAAGCTCATCTCAGCTAAGTAAGCAGCATTCTCAAACATCAGGAAAGCTGGGCAAGGTGTCCTCTTGAATACATCTTCCTTTTCCATAATATCGAAGGCAAGGAGAATCCCAGTAGTACCAAAGAGAATCACAACAACAATCAAGCCTGCTATTGGATGGGTGGCTAGTACGGGTTCCATGTTGTATAGAAATTGTGTTCAAACGTTTGTCCTCCAGGTAAGACTAAATTTCAACTCCTAGAAACACAGACAACTTGACTGATGATCAGTGATTCTAAGAACCGCAGTCCAAAATTCTATTGAGCACCCAATACTGAGAACTAACATTCTATAGAGCTTAGGTACAAGCTCTAGAGTTGCAGCTTCTGAGTTTACTATTGAAGAATGTTTTAACAAAGCCAATATGCTGGCTTTAAGTTCTCTGACTCCTAAATAATATTTATCTCATTCTTGCTGCTCAATTTTCCAGTACATAGCATAGTAAACCTCATATTTCTATGCAGATATTTTTTTGAAAAGGAACAAAGACAGTTTCTAGAACTTACAGAGCTATCATTATGCACTTCTGGGGCTCCTAGTATATTTTAGTTAAAGTAGAAATTCCACAGCAAATGTGTTGTGCACATTTTTAGAAGTAACCAATTTTCTAAAAGGGTTTTTGCTTGAATGACTGTGGCTGAAATTCGCTGCTTTTTAGGGGACTGAGGATTGGTTGCCTGCCTCGTACTCTTTGCCACATATGTGCCCTGATTCAGTCCAAGCAATAGGGCAAAAAATTACATGGGTGCCTGATTTGTACTACTGTGGAACGTCTTTGGCTTTCCAGTTCTTGAATGCTATATCTGAAATAGACACTCAGAGGGACCCAATACCTTTTTCTATTTTTTCCCTAGTAGCAGTAATGATAACTTGTGAGTTTCCGATCCAGACCACAGGAAAATGAAGCACAGTATGATCACTGTATCTACGAAGGATACGTTCCTGGAAATTGTATGGATAATAATCCTATTGAAATAAATTACTTCTAGGCTAAAAATACAATAGAATCATGCCGGAAGGCTTAGAAAATGCATGGAGACATATTTTGTTGGATATGGATATTTATTTATTTATTTACTTACAGTATTTATATACCGCCTTTCTCACCCCTGGGTGTACTCAAAGCGGTTTACACATAAATAATGGCAAGATTCAGTACCTTATGTTGGGCACCGATACGATGCCAATACAAACAATTACAATAGTAAAACCACAATTAAACATAAATCACAATTAAAACAATACATCAACAAGCATTAAAACAATAAAACAGTCTCGTCAGTCAAATCGCCGTTCCAGTCAATGTCCCTCTAAAATGCTACATCTACTGTTTGAAGGCCTGGTCCCAGAACAATGATTTTAATTTTTTTTCTAAAAGCCAGGAGGGAGGGAGCAGATCTTCCCTCATTTGGGAGTGTGTTCCATAGGTGGGGGGCAACAGCCGAGAAGGCCCTGTCTCTCGTCCCCACCTGACGCATTTGTGCTGTTGACGGGAGCGAGAGCAGGGCCTCCCCAGATGATCTTAGATTATGAGGTGGGGCGTAGGGGTGAATGCGTTCGGATAAGTAAGCTGGGCCAGAACCATATAGAGCTTTATAGGTCAAAACCAGCACTTTGAATTGGGCTCGGAGATGGACCAGCAACCAGTGGAGCTGGCATAGCAGGGGGGTGGTATGCTCCCTGTATGTTGACCCAGTTAGTAATCTGGCTGCCGCCCATTGGACTAGCTGAAGTTTCTGAACCGTCTTCAAAGGCAGCCCCATGTAGAGTGCGTTGCAGTATTCCATTCGGCATGTAACCAGAGCGTTAATGAATGAAACCATAGATATCCATCTCATTGATACTGTATTTATTTCATTTTGAAAAGAAAAATTCAAAGCTGTGAGAAACATGAAACAAGTTATAGCAGAAAGAAGCAAAACCATCCACAAAAACTATTTACTGTCAGACTGAATGGAGAAGGTCAAGTTTATGTAAAAACTCAGTAACTGGTGTAGCACAAAATAAAGAATGTACAAAGGGTTTAATCACTGGATACTTCTTCTGCATAAGTTCTTTTGCAGAACGGGAAATGTGTAAGACAAGCCCTTAAGGATTCCTCATTTTTTAAAAAATATATTATGAGTTGGTCTTTCAATCTTCCTTGTATTCTGCAATATTTTCCAATACAGTGTAGTTGACAATAAAGATGTAAGATTATTTCAGGAGATTTGATAAAGCTGCATCAGTTTCCTCAGTTTTTCTCCAGCTGTCCCATCTGTTTGGCCATGTATTTTGGACTGAGCCATACTTCCTTCATTAGAAACATGTGGAGATTCAGCAGGTTCACCAGGGACAGAAGCCATTTTTTGCAGTTTCTCAAATAATCCCCTGCAGCCTTCTTTCTCTTGCTCACCCAGAAGTTCTATATTCAGACCAAAGCGTTTTGTGCCAGCAAAACTCTCCAAGATTTCCAAGACAGTGTTTTGGTCTTCCATGCAGACATTTTCTGTGAGCACCGCTAGGAATTCACCTAGAAGACCATAAGCCAAGTCAGTTTGAAAAATTCTGCCCAAACTCTGGGGTCCAAGTTGGAGCAGAAGCTGGTATCGTTGCTGGCTGCTTTTCATGCATCTGCGCCAGTCTCTGTAGAATTCTGCAGAAGTCTCAGGGAGTTGCTCTAACTCCTGGAGGATAAGAATAATGTCACCAGTCCTGACTCATATAGATTTCCCACCATTCACCCTTCTCCTACATAAACAATTTGGGCTCCTTTGTATGCTCTCAATGTCTTGGCCTCAGTGTTGAACGACAGCCAGCTGCTTGCTTTTGCAGCAGGGAAGAGCCAAGAGGCCAATAAAAGACTGGCTCTGAAGGTGAGGATCTGGGAGACAGAAGCTGCAAGAGTGGACATGGGAGATAGAGTGTGCAGACCTCTCTATTGGCCTTGAGTGAGCCTAGACTCACAGCACAACTGGTCCAAAGCCTTGCTCCTCTGCCAGCAATTGGCAGATATATAAAGGAAGTTTTAAGCAGAGAAAGTCTCATAGGGTGCCAGGAGACAAGCACCTTTACTAAGAGATATTCAGGTAAAATCCTAAACTAGAAAGAAACATAATAAGAAAGCACCCTGGCACTACATCTTTAATTTTTTAGGTTGTCTTTGTTTGTTGGCTTAGCGGAACTCTGATGTTAAGGTGTACTATCACAACCAAAAAATCCCACAGCTATCCACCCAGTTCCTTTTCCTAACATCACTTTCTAATATTCCCATAAACACTCATCTAGTAGCCACTTGTACCAGACAAACATCATGTTTCTTCTACATTATCTCTTCAAACACCAAATAACTTGGTCTGTTCAAAATATAGAGTCATGAGTGTGACTGTTAGGGCATGTCGGGATGTGTGCAAGAAACTTATTTTTCCACATGGAGCACATAACCCATGCAACATCCCTTACGAAAACTTTAAGATTTAAAGAGGAAACATAGCATTCCATGCTGAATTCCCCAAATCCTTCCTCAACGAAAATCAAGTACCGGGATTGTGGCGCAGCTGGCTGAATGTCAGCTGCATTAAGATCACTCTGACCAAAAGGTCATGAGTTCGAAGCCAGCCCGGGTTGGAGTGGGTTTCCAACCAATTGTGTAGCCTGTTGTCGACCTTTGCAACCCGAAAGACAGTTGCATCTGTCAAGTAGGAAAATTAGGTACCACCTTAAAGTGTCGGGAGGCTAAATTAACTAATTTATGAGGCCATAAAAAGACTCCAGCAAAGCACTCCAGCAAAAACGCATGTGGGAAATGTGGAAGTACTTCATCAGTGTCACAGATGGACGATGAAAGCGACAGCTCCCCTGGCGGCCAGAAAAAGTTAAATAGCCTCTGTGTATGTCTGTATATTTTGTATGTCAAAATTGGCATTGAATGTTTGCCATATATGTCTACACTGTAATCCGCCCTGAGTCCCCTGCGGGGTGAGAAGGGTAGAATATAAATGCTGCAAATAAATGAATAAATAAATAAATAAGTACTATTTTCAAAATGGGCTGTAAATCCATCTAATTTTTCCATTGCACACATTTGCAATGGGTTTATTAGCACAACTGACACATGCAAGATTTTGCTGCAACACATGTCAAATTCTGTGCCATGACATTTCCACTGAAATTTTGCATTTAGCACTAATTTTTGAAATACTACATGTTATTAAATGCCTATTTCTGCATGTATTAAGCAAAGTCCTATGATATTCAAAATATGCAGGTAGTTTCCGTACAATTTTATTTTTTTTAATCTTGTAGAATAAATAATGGGCAAAAGGTAGGATATAATTAAGGGACAAAAATATCATAATTTTAAAAAGACATTCTCAAAGATGGAGAAGAGGATTAATCATTGACACAGGATTTACACTTTATCAGTATATGCTTGCTTCGTTGTTCTTCATTAAGAGGCAGAAATGTCAATATCAGAAATTATACAAAAGGTATATGCAGCAACATACTTCCAGTCTCTACATTAAAAGAAAGATATATTAAAACCAAGAATTACTATGATTTTTAATTTAGGAATATCTGATCAAAGAGGAATCTGGCTTGGAAGAGACCACAGATTTAAAAAAAACTTCAAGAAAAGCTATTTCACCTGAGACAATTCTATTCCACTTTCTTCTTTGCAGTTTGATTTAAATGCACAGGAATTCCATAACATGCTTTTTTTGTTCCTCATTTTGTCCCCTTTTTCTAAAGGCTTCAAGTGTGATGCTCGAACAATATCCCTACAGGCAACAAAAAAGTGTGTATTATTAAAAGTTCAACAGCAGTCTGACCAAATACAAAAGTTGTGGAGATAAGAAAGTGTTTACTTTTTGCAATTATTTCTTTAATAAAATTATTAAAGGTACAACAATTTTACCTAGTATTGTATTCATTCAAGTGCCAAGTACCTGTTCAGCTTGTCCAAAGAAACTTCAGATGCCTACAAACAACTAAAACAACTAGGTCATATGGTAAAGTGAATACCTTCAATGTGCCACAATTTAACGTGGTAGCCTGCATATGGCAAAATTTACATACTCTAACTACCTGTTAGAGTATGTAAATTGTAGCTGCCTGTAAAAAATGCTGCTCCATTTAATCCTTTTATAGGATGCCTCCTTTCTCTCAGATATCCACACAATAAAACTTGGAAGTGGAAGAAGCAGCACTTTATTACCAGTTTGCAAAACAGTAATGGGTGTGCACGAACATTTAATGTTCTATTTACTGTATAATTACTATTAATAACATACCTATTAATGTCTATAGAACAGATTTCACTGTGGGGGAAAGTCATGCCAGTTGTTCTTGGTGCAAGTTTGTTTTAATTTGGGAACTGCTGGTTTGTATGCCATATAGATCAGATGCTAACTGTATTAACTTAACAGCTGTATATAGATTGAGATAAAATCACAAGCATCTTCTTTAAAGATAAGTATTTTGTTTAATCTGCTCTCTCTTTCTCATCAAGAAAGGAATTAATAGGACTCAAGAAACCTGAATTCTTCATAGGATGATACTTTCTGGCGCACTGCTCGAAATTTGGCATCATTTTCTCTCTTGTACTTCTCATCACTGGCAATCGCTTGTTCCAACTCCTTTTCCAAAGTACGGAAATCTATCATGCCTTCCATTCTTAAGACCTAGGAGAAGCACAGGTAAGTAGTATAATATTTAATTAAAACAACAACTGTTATGCCAAAAATTGGGCCTGAACAACTTTAACTGGAGGATACAAAGGTATTAAGCAAGAGGAAGAAAGATCAGTCCAAATAAATCACAAGCAAATATGTGCATAACACACATACAGAAACCAGATTATATTAGTTACCATCTGAGCATACTGTTATGCATTTTCCACTTCCCAAAGTAACCACAGTCAATGGGCTGAAGGAGCCCTAAAGAAGCCAGCTTTTTAAGGGAGAAAGAACAGATTTACAGCATCTTTTGAATATCTAGTCAATTTTACAGCTATATAAGCAGGCCCCCCTTAGGGCCAAATTGATTCAGCATATTGGCAAATCCAGATCTTGGCAGGAGTTGCTTGCACCCTGACGCGTGGTGCTTCACATTAAGCCAGCTCACAACTCCTAACTCTTTTTTTCTTCTCAATTCAAGCAGCAAACCCTGGCTGCATACCAATTATTTTAACTGTAAGAGAGCATCTCCTCGCCAAATTCAGATGGGTACAAATGGAATCTATTACAAATGTGCAAGGAACACTTTTGTTCGGCATTCAAAGTCAATCAGGTATGACCTTCTTCACAACATCATCTTCCTTGGGCACAGTTTTTGATTCTAGCCCAAGAATAAGACTGCATTTGAAACATACCAATCACTCCCAGCCCCTGTTGATTTATAGATCATGATTTGTGTGTGTGTGTGTGGACACACACACCTTTATAAATCTCAGAGTTCATTGAGGCTGCTGATAACACTGTCCAACACACATTCTGGTGCTTTAAATGTTACATCTGTTTTTGCGTATACTGGACTTGTTGATTCCCAAAATGTCACCAGTTTTCCCCTATCAGCTCTACCTTTGTCATGTAGCAGTCTTCATCTGCTCTCCCATAAAAAATCATAACTACATCTAAGAAACTAGAGCTGATGCTAGACCAGTGATGGGCAACCTTTTCAGATTGGTGTGTCAAAATCCGCCAAAAAAAAAGAGCATAATTCAGGTGGGGTGCCACTTTGAGAAAAAGCCCCATAATTTTGCAATATTTATAGTTTAAATAACAAAAATGCATAATGGGAGGATAAATTCTTTAACTAAGCTACCTATTAGTGACTTTTTTGTTGCTGAATTTCATTGACTAAATGTTCAATTGAAGGTTTGTATTTTGTACACTTCAAGCCCAAGCAAGTGCTACTAACATCATCTGTCAATCTGTTTCTTTGATGGTTTTGATATTATTTAACACTGAGAATAAGGTCTCACAAAAGTACGTGGAGGGAAAAATGGTGAGTAAAGCCATGTCAGACTACACAGAGAAGCCCTTGAAATCCACAAGCATCTGGACAATTTCGACAGAAAGGAGGAAACCATGAAAATGAACAAAATCTGGCTACCAGTATTTTAAAAACTCTAAAATTAGGACAGTAAAGAAATAGCAACACTCAGGAAACAGAGGAATTCCAGACAAGAATCAGTCAGACCCAGCTAACACCCCACAACAAAGGATTCCCCTGAGCAGGAAGGAGCCAGACTTTGAAGCTGCCAGGCCATTCAAGGCTAATCAAAATGGTCAATTGCAACATTCACATTTGCCTCCAACAGACAACAGTTCTTTCTCTCACCCTGGATGCTATTCCACAGATATATAAACCCTAAAAAACAGGGAAATTCCAGACAAGAAACAGTCAAGCCCAGCTAACACCTCCTAACAAAGGATTCCCCTGAGCAGGAATGAGCCAGACTTTGAATCTGCAAGGCCATTCAATGCTAGTCAAGCTGGCCAATGGCAACATTCGCACTTGCCTCCAACAAACAAGAGTTCTTTCTCCCACCCTGGACCTTCCACAGCCAGGCTTTGAAGCTGCAAAGCCATTCAACGCTAATCAAACTGGCCAATGGCAACATTCACAATTTCCTCCAACAGACAAGGGTTCTTTCTCCCACCCTGGACGTTATTTCACAGGCATATAAACCCCACTTGCCTAGTTTCCAACAAACTTCAGAGGATGCCTGCCATAAGATATGAGAGAAACGTCAGGAGAGAATGCTCCTGGAACAGAGAGGTTTAGCTGAGGAGAAAAAAAGACCCCAGCAACCAAGCGCGCGCCTGCCTCCCTCGGCCAAACGCGGCCACCAGATCAAAGGCGCCGCCGGGTGATTGGCAGCCGAGGGGCGGGGCTGAAGGATTCTTTCCCCCCGAGATGCGCTCCTGCCTTAAAGAGACAGCACACTGTTTTTCTCTCTCCTTTCCCTCTCTTTCGCCCGCTCGGAGAAGCGAGCAAGCAAGCAGCCCACAGCCAGGGATTTGGCAAATGCGTAAGTTGCTTCAGCCGCCCCTGATGCAGCCCTATCCTTCTCTGTAGGCAGCCGCATGTGGCCGCGTGTCATAGAAAATGGCCAGGCGTGTCAGTGCTGACACGCGTGCCATAGGTTCGCCATCATGGTGCTAGACAGTGCAATTTTCTGAGTAATCACCCCAAAGAACAACAGAAACAAGCCTAAAAAACAAGACACTAAGGGTCTTTCCACACAGTCATATAACCCAGAATATCAAGGCAGATAATCCACAATATCTGCTTTGAAGTGGATTATCAGTGTTCACACTGCCACATAACCCAATTCAAAGCAGATTATGTGGCATCTTATATAGCTGTGCGGAAGGAGCCCAATAATTATTTTGTTTGGGCTATGCAATTCTCTCTTCTGCACCAGTTGTACAATTTTGGCTACAAAAGCATCAGCACTGTGAGCATTAAATGGAGTCCCCAGTGGTACAATGGGTTAAACACTTGTGCCAGCAGGACTGCTGACCAACAGGTCAGCGGTTAAAAACTGGGGAGAGTGGGTTGAACTCCCTCTGTCAGCTCCAGCTCCCCATGCGGGGAGAGGAGAGAAGCCTCCCACAAGGATGGTAAAACATCAAACATCTGGGCGTCCCCTGGGCAATGTCCTTGCTGACGGCCAATTCTCTCATACAAGAAATGACTTGCAGTTTCTCAAGTTGCTCCTGATAGTAAAAACAACAACTGAGAGCATTAAAAAATAGAGAGAACACATTCCATAAGATGGAGATACATTTCCAGTATCAAGAGACATTAATATAGTAGGCTCTCAGGGCCTTCCTCACAGCCATATAACCCAGAATATCAAGGCAGATAATACATAATATCTGCTTTGAACTTGGTCACCTGAGTCCACACTGCTGTATAATCCAGTTCAATATGGATTTTATACAGCTGTGTGGAAGGGATCTAAATAAGGCACTTCAGGCCTCCACTATTGGGAGACTGCAACTTCCAGCAGCAAAGCAGTCTCCTAATAATGGAAGCCCGAATAGTTCCCACTCCTGTTTTAAATCATAAACTTCTGTGGGTCTCTTTTAAGGATCACTACATATCTTTTAAGGATCACATATCTATGAGCCTCTGGTGGCGCAGTGGGTTAAAGCACTGAGCTGACGAGCTTCTTGACCGAAAGGTCACAGGTTCGATTCCGGGGAGCAGCGTGAGCTTCCGCTGTCAGCTCTAGCTACTGCCAACCTAGCAGTTTGAAAACATGCAAATGTGAGTAGATCAATAGGTACCGCTCCGGTGGGAAGGTAACGGCGCTCCATGCAGTCATGCCAGCCACATGACCTTGGAGGTGTCTATGGACAATGCCAACTCTTCGGCTTAGAAATGGAGATGAGCACCACACCCCAGATTCAGACATGACTGAACTTAATGTCAGGGGACAACCTTTACCTTTTACATATCTATATAAATAAAAATTTAATGTTCATTTGTGGGATTAACAGAACTCAAAAACCACTGGACGAAGTGATACCAAATTTGGACACAAGACACGTATCAGGCCAATGAGTGACCATCACGCATAAAAACACCGACAAACAAAGCAGAAGAGACTTAAAAAGCCAAAAAAGCAAAAGATGCTACAGCACATGCACAAAAATGACTCTCCCGGCAAACAAAACACACAATATCATAGGCACACTCTCTTCCGGACTACAGCTCCCAGCATCCCCTAGACCAGGCTCTTCAGGGGAGCAGGATGGTCCAAATGCACTGCTTTCAAGATGCAAGCTTTCTTCTCCTTGGATTTCTTTGAAAGCATCCCAATCCCTGCATATTTTCAATTTCCTATTCCTGGACTGCAACTTCCAGCAATCCTCCAGTTAGGTAGATTAGATAGTGATAGATAGGTAGGTAGATAGATGGATCAGGACTGCTAGGAATTGCAGTCCAAGAATAGGTAGAGAAGGAAGAAAGGGGAGAAAGAGGAAGGGAAGAAAGGAAGAAGAGAAGGAAAGGGGGGAAAGGGAAGGAAGGAAAGAATTAGGGAAGGAGAGCAAGAAAGAAGAGAAAAAGGGATGGAGGGTTGGCCACACAACGCTTAGCGGGTACAGCTAATACTTCAGGAAAATTTGCACTGGAAAATCCACACCAAAAGCACAAAACCGAGAGAAGGCAGCTTTTCAGTCTACACAGGGTGCTGGAGTTCGTTCTCCAGGGTAGGCCTCGCGTTCCCATGCCAACGAGGTTTCCATAGCAACCAGAACACTCTCCGAGGTAGGCAGGGCCTTCCAGCCGTGGAACTAATCGCTCAACTCCGTATTTCCTATAGACGAGGGAATGAAAGGCCCCCTGTTGCCTACGGATGAGGCTGTCTACTCAGTTGCCGGAATGATTTCCTCTATTTTCCTCCATATAGATCGGTCTTGGTGGATAGCCATAAATACAACAATACAATAATATAACACGTTATTGTTGTATTATGCCTTTCCACCAAGACCGATATATATCGGGACTGCACCTTTAAAGAAAGAAATGGAGGAAATCATTCCGGCAACTGAGTAGACAGCCTCACCCGGAATGAAGGGGGCCTTTCATTCTGTCGTCGCAGCTCGCGCGACGGGGAAAGAGAACGTAGCGACGAACGTGCGCCGCAGCCTGTGCTGAGGAAGGCGGTAAAGCAAAGGGAAAAGCAGGAAGGTAGGGCTGCATGCCTGTCTAAAATGAATATAAGCTTTCCCCCCTCTAACTGTAAAACTAGTACATTGTTAAAATACGAGCCAACGGCATGGTGTGCAAGGACAACTTCGAAAAGACCTGCTAGAGTTGCTTTTAGCTGGAAGTCCTGCAGTTCAGCAGGACTCAATGGCCCCTGAGGCCCCTTCCAGCCCTATCATTTCTCTTGCTAATGTATTGTTGAAGGCTTTCATGGCTGGAATCACTGGGTTGTTGTAGGTTTTTCGGGCTGTATGGCCATATTCAAGCTGGGTTTAGAAAAGGCAGAGGAACGAGAGACCAGATTGCCAATATCCGCTGGATAATGGAGAAAGGCAGGGAGTTTCAGAAAAACATCTATTTCGGCTTCATTGACTACTCTAAAGCCTTTGACTGTGTGGATCATAATAAATTGTGGCAAGTTCTTGGTGGGATGGGCATACCAAGCCACCTTGTCTCTCTCCTGAGGAATCTGTACAAGGTCCAAGTAGCAACAGTAAGAACTGACCACGGAACAACAGACTGGTTCAAGATTGGGAAAGGCGTACGGCAAGGCTGCATACTCTCACCCAACCTTTTTAACTTGTATGCAGAACACATCATGCGATGTGCGGGGCTGGATGAATGCAAAGCTGGGGTGAAAATTGCTGGAAGAAACATTAACAACCTCAGATATGCAGATGACACCACTCTGATGGCCGAAAGCGAGGAGGAGCTGAGGAGCCTTCTAATCAAGGTGAAAGAAGAAAGCGCAAAAGCTGGGTTGCAGCTCAACATCAAAAAAACCAAGATTATGGCAACAAGAATGATTGACAACTGGAAAATAGAGGGAGAAAAAATGGAGGCCGTGACAGACTTTGTATTTCTAGGTGCAAAGATTACTGCAAATGCAGACTGAAGCCAGGAAATCAGAAGACGCTTACTTC